GGTGACATTTCTGCAAACATGTTGACATTTTCTTGACAATGGTTTGCGTAAAATTGATATAAAATGGACAAAAAATTTACATTCATTTTCCGTAAAATTAACATAAACATGCTGTTTCGGGGGTTCAATCTTGAAATCACAGAAAGAAGAAAACAAGGAAAGATATGGAGGACTAGGCCCGTAAGAAATGCGTGCACGGTAAGAAAGTACATTTGCCCCCTCGCGTCACTTCAAAGGACCATAAATTAGATGCGGAAAATCCATCAATCAACTTCCTTGAAATATTCATCGAAACGGCTATCGTTGAATATGAAATGAAAATCAATGTTTGCCGACCACCATGGTCGGCGTTGACGCCGATACAATCGATCTATGACTGACGGAGGGCTGATGCTCATTCTAACAATGCTCTCGAGAATTTAGAAATCTGAAATTTGATACACAAATTGCTATTGGGATGCAGAGTTATGATGAATCGGATTTTGGAGTTGCATGCCCTAGGGGCACAAATTTTGAGGGGAAGGAAGTCCATCTGTGCATGTGTGGCACTTTCTGCTAGCCACGGGGTGTACGTCTCTCTCTCCCTGGGTCGCACTTTTTTTCCCCGAGAACGTAATAGCCCGGGGTTGGGGGGAAGATGAGTTCGGATGGCCTAATAGGACGAAAGAAAACAATGGCGAGGGCAGAAATCGAACCCGGTACCTCCTATCAATACTTATCAGCCAAGTGCGCTGCCAATATAGCACCAAACTCAAGGCGTTTGATGGTCCTTCTCCATGCCATCCCAACATTACAACGGGTGAGAGAGACATACTACACATCCCCCTCTCCCTGATTTGGGGATCCGATACAGTTCATTCCGCAGGGACGTTTAAAACGTCCCCGTGCATTACACTCAGAGTTTCCTTTCATCCCTAGGGGAAGGATATCTTCCTCACCGGGCTGAGATCTTCGCCCATAAATTTATCGAGACCTTAACCCACGTATCAATCGGAACCCCGTCCTCTTATGGATTGCCACTCTCACGAGGAGAGTGACTCCCGAGTGTGAAAACGGCGGGATCCCACCTGTAAGGAACAGAAGCTCTCGCGCTTGTATAGGAAAGAAAACCCGACGAAGAATCGCAACTATGAAATGCCGGCTTCCCGAAACAATATTTGCTGCATATTGTGACTACTCGTTGATTAACGAAGTTCTTTAGTGGCTATTAAGAGCAAATCATATATGATGAAAAACGAATTTCACGGCTCCGACTTTTACAACCGATACCGATTTGACCTGATCTGCATTATTCTCCTCATTGGCCTTCAAGAGGACATAGAAGCAGTTGCTCCCAGAAATCACCACAAAATCCATGTAATTCAAATCTGTGTTGGTTCACAGTACTTTGTTACAGGATCTTTTCAATCTGTGTTAAGTGACAGTGTGGAAGTCTCCATGTTCCTGCAAATGTAGGATATTTTGGATGGTGGCACTTGCTATGAGAGCAAGGTTTCACATTTTGTGACGCAACCAGATGATGGTCAGATGGCACAAGGAAGGGATGCCTTTGGTCAATTCCCAGGTGTGATTGATGTGATCGTCTGTATTCAGTTAATGAGCTTAATTTATTCAATCAGATGGGGTTCCATTTAATAAACGTCATATGCGTTTGCAACAGTGCATATGAGATCACATGTACGAGCTATGTCTACCCGTTGGCCGGTTGGGTCCACGATATTCAGGTACAGCACTAGGCCATACTGACCTAGTGGAGTACCAGGACTGATAGCCATGTAGAGTTGTATACCTGGACTTATGGCCTTGTTGCCTTGTATACATGGACCTATAGCCTTGTATGGTCAGTTCCAAAGTTCCAAAGAGAGAAACCTCTCGTTTCTCTCTTGAAGAAAGGTGCTTTCGCTTTCGCCAACGAGTGTGACATAACGGAGCACATAGGACGTCCATGGTGAATGCAATATTTGGGGCAGTGGAAAATGAGGCTCCATTGCCAACATTCAGAGGCCTGTACGACTTCGGCTTGGGCAAGCACCATCAACATTGCATGTGCTGTCCATTGCAAATGGTCTGGGGACTTCATGACTCTTTGAATGTCTTCATTGAAGAACAACCGAATAAACATCCAGATGGATATGCTTACCAAGGCCGTTTGGCACAGGCATGCACCCATTACAAAGCCATTTGCTCCTGTAGGCTGATATTCGTTTTTCGTTTGAAGGCTGCCATGCGGACAGAGGAAGAGGGCCGTTCCAGGATGTTAAGCTAGCTCGGCGTCCCTTAACGCTCTGCTAGGATAAGCAGTGCGATAAGACGGGAAAATGCAAGGATTCGCAAAATGAACAGCATCAGAAACAGAACCATGCAAAGATCTCAAGAAATTTCTGATTCTGACGTTGATAATTCGGATGATCCAGCTAGCTCAGGCCCACATCCCTTACTGCAATTTGATCGAAAACTTTTTTTCTTACTCTTACTTTTTTGTTTTATTTTCGCTTCTTCCAACACCATTGTATTTAATTATGTTAAGATGTTAATCCCCATTTAGTGGTGTTCGTGTTTTGAAATTACATTCACATTCCAGAAAAATAAATCCTTTGATTCGTCGTGTGTTTGCTTTTCTCTTGCGAAAACAAAAAAGGGTCGCAGAATGTGCGAACCGATCTGGCTAAAATAAATCACTAGGGAAGATGAGACTGGCAGTACAGATAACGGTTTGAAAGGGAGAGATTCTGCATTCCAGTCACAGAGCGCAACCCGTTCGACTCAGTGCATAAACGTTCGACCCAAGGCATGAAATGGCATGTCCTGTTTCGTGGGGCTATGCACACCTACTTTCTCTCACTGACCATAACTTTCATTCCTACCATAACTTGACTCATGAAAACAGGTAGTTTCAGGAGGCGGGGGAAGCAAAATGGTCGCATCTGGGCCGGCCATAATGGGCTAAGAGAAATCCAGGATTTAAACATTTAGATCCAACATTAAATTTTAAATTGTATTTGTGGAACTGAGCGCACAGGAAGGAAAATGTTGATTTCGCGAAAGTTAACCACCCACTCTTACGCTTTCTACCTTTTTCCTATCTTTAGGAAGGTTAAAGGTTAAAGAAAGGTTAAAGGTTAAAGAAAGGTTAAAATGAGACGCAGGATGCTCCTGTTCTGCATCCAGGCGTAGCACGAAGTTAAGTCAGACCGGTGTCCAGGAACTGCGTTGCATTCTAGCAATATTGATTGAGAGGGAAAGTCATCCATCAACTTCTCTTGTATTTCCTTTAAAAAAGTTAAATAAAGAAAAAAATAACCATGTTTCTCGGCCTGAAGGTCGCTGTTGACGTCGATGCAGTGAGGGAAAGGTTCAATACCGTACCCATACGCCTCTTATCCCAGTCATCCCTGGCCTTCCCGAGGACCCAGCCGCAAGGATGGAATCTTGTAGATCCTCGGCAGAGATACTCAAGATCATCCTCGTGTTCATATACTTGTCACGAGACGTCGCCTCCGTCGATTTGATCCCCTATTTCCGCGTGCATCCTGGGCAAAGATACGAGAATGTGACGTCAGAATCTCAGGAGCCCAGTCTCGGATCTTGCACCGTAAATTGTGTGCTGCAGGAACCGAGTGCCTGCCCCGCCTTCAACTATCGGGAGACAGATGGTTCGTGCCAGTTTATTCTCAACGGGAAGAACAAGCTTATTGAAGCCAATGGATACCTGTCCTACGTCCAGAGTGAGTCGAATGCTTCCCACTTTCATCTCGACCGGTTTGAAGACATGAACATGACTCTCGTCGAAATTGATAGATTTATGTGTGAGAGAGTATCCGATGATCGAGAACGCGAAGGTGTCCTTCGAGAGATGGAGCGGAGAATATCCAGCACCAGCAGGAGTGAACGTTATATTCCGTTGTGAACATCCGAATGGGTTCTCGGATGGAGCTCATCTCCACACTGCTCAATGCGCTTCCTTCATGCCAGATTCTTGGCGTATCTCCTTCCGGAAGAGTGCGGTGCAATGTGAGGGCATGGCAAACTATTTCTTCATGAGAACTGATTATTTTTATACAAATCTCATCTCATCTCTTTCATGATGTCCTCCTAGCAGTCGAATTAAAAACTGTTACACTTGCTTTTCTTTAGGACAAGGTTTTTCTTACGTTCTTTAATTTTGGAGGCGGGTGAATAGGAACAAGTATTGCCAGAACCATTTGAAAGTATAAGCTAATGAGACCAAAAGGATAAACGAGGTAGGTCTAGAACTATTAGAAAAGGGTTTCTTTGCCAAAGAATGTTTAATCCTACCGTTGACTATTCTCCACAGCCCCATAGTAGCACATAACATTGAAACAATATTAATTCCCCGTTAATATTGTATATTGAATCAATGTCGCTTCGATGTTATGCGGAACTAGGGCATGGGATTAATATTTCCTAGTCCGAAAGATGAAAATAATGTCCTAGGTAGGAGCATTAGTGTGCTGCCTTGGCAATGCTTTGGGATCCTGGTTGTTCTAGGAATCGGTTTCAGTTCTTGCTAACTTCTTTCCACAAAAATCTTGGAAAAAAGTTCTCAATGCAGAACCAGCGATGATTCCGATTGAAACTTCAAATTTTGTAAATGTTCCATTATGTTGCGAAAATGAGACAAATATTTTGGAAATAATATTGAAGATGAGCTCTAAATTTTGAAATTTTCCTGAAGCTGATCGTGCAACTTGGATCCACAATATTTCCGATTGATACGTTGTGGGTATGAGATTGACGATAATATAACATTTCAAGTTTCGCTTTTATCGCACTTACAGTATCTCCACAACTCTTTGTTGCTCATCGTCACTCGATCGCTGGATTTTGTTACTGGCAGGTGAAGAAGTGCATTTGTATCCAGAATGTCGTTTGACAGAAAAGGGCAAGGAATACGCAGGAGGAATGAGCGTGACGGAGTCGGGCAAGAAGTGCCTCTTCTGGAGAGATTATCCCTATGGAAGACCGGATGACTTCTCGAACATCCCATTCATAATACTTGACGAATTGATTTCTGATCTGGAACCCGGAAGGCCACCGTATGACTTATTATACGAGCGCCACTTCCTTAATCGAGACTCCGGGTCTCACCGCAACTACTGCCGGAATCCATCCAGGAGGGAGAGACCCTGGTGCTTCGTTTCCGAACCTGATATCCAGTGGGAATACTGCAACATCCCTTTTTGCACTGACGCAGGTGAAGTTTCCTTTTGCGCAGTTTCATGGGCAGGAGGGGACAGAGCAAATACATGATAGGCCAACAAAATATTCGATTATTATTAACGCTTCTTGGTGTAGTTTCTCCATAGCTTGAAACTATTGTAAAAGCGTGTCTGTATAGAACGTTTATCTAACGTGCGACTGCTCCCAAAAGATGCAAGATCTATTCCGACTTTTCCAGGCAGTAACACATAGAGAAACAAAGGTAGCACCTGAAAGTGCACTCACTGGTACGGTGCAATATATGTTCTAGGTGACGCCAATTCTTTCGCACATTCGCAATTAGTCCGAGGAGTTGTTCGCATTTCCAGCGCAATCTCCTATACTCTTTGTTTCATTAGATGGAAATGATGCAACGAATCTTCCTTCTGTGCTCATCGTTGGAGAGTTGAACGGATGTTCTTCATTTAGTCAATATTCCAACTTTGGGAAATTATTGGGGAACAGTGCTTTGGAGTGATGAAGATAATTAAAATTTCATTTTTGACGCAGTATGTATTGAACCATTTGGCATGTGCCTCCCAATGAGCAACTGAAGAGGGAGGACATAGTTCGGAAAAATTTTGGAATAAATTAATCACAATGTTTTGAAATAATAACAGATATCTTCTCACCAAGAAGACCTGCAATCATGCGACTGTTTGCTCCATTTGTCGAATGGAAATTGCGGATAATGTCGGTTTGGAAATAATGGATGGTGCAGCGATTTCTGCGACAACCGCTGCCTTAAAAGGTTATTAATATAAAGTACATGAATGATAGATACTGAGGGCAGTTTCTCGTTTTCGTCGCACCTGTTCCAACATAGGCCGAAGGGACGCTACACACAGCCAAGGGCAACGAGTGACCGTGTCAATCACAAATTCTTTTCGGATATTTAATTCCAAGTCAATAGGTTTCTTCGGGACAGATGCCAAATGAAACGGGACTTCTTTCTTGCCACCAGTCGCACCAGAGTGCAAAGTGACTCGATGGGGAGGGGAATACATGGGCACGAAGAACGTGACAATCCAAGGATGGCCCTGCCAGCCTTGGAGAAACGAAGAAGACATTGAAAATCTCCTGGCTTTCCCTGATCCCGATCGCGTTGACGAAGATCACAACTTCTGCAGAAACCCAAATACGGAAAAGGAAACCGTCATTTATAACCTTAATCCAAACGAAGCTCCTTGGTGCTACCTGGATTTTCGGGAAAGAGCTCCGTTTGGGTTCACGTGGGCTTTCTGCGACATCCCGTTCTGCGACCTGGGAGATGAAATACCTAAAGCCGGAACGGGAGTATATCCAGAATGCCGACTGTCAGAAAAGGGAAGGGAATACGTTGGGAGCCAGAGCAAGACAGAAACTGGCAGGGCATGCATACTATGGCATCCTCGACCTTACAAAATCCCTTGGGATTTTTACCCCAAAGGCTTTCGATACGAACTACATTTCATGGAAACCTTCAGGCGGATTGAACTCAACAACAACCACAACCACTGCCGAAATCCAGGTGTGGACAGGGAACGACCATGGTGCTTCGTCTCCGACAATGACATACAGTGGGAGTACTGCGACATCCCCTTCTGCCAAGACCTCAGTTAGTTCATTCTGATCCCTCTTTACGAGAACAGCACACTAACTTTTCTGAGATTATGAGTGCGGTTTAGTTTTTATAAGAGAAAATGGAGAAAACCATATTGGAGGAAGAACTTTCCCATACCAGTAAATTTGGGGAAATATTTGACTGAAATGCATATAATCAGCATTTGTGTGGGAAAGGGGCGTTGGAGAAAATATGTAAAGACTTTGATTGAAAACCCCACCCGAATACGAGGACATAATTCTTCCAGTATTATTCGTACAGATATAAGCACAAAGAGTAATAGATTGGTATTAATTAACGTTGATGTAGAGGGGAGAGACGCTAAATTCAAGAATACATTTTCTGATGAATAGAAGAATATCGAATTGAGAGATTCAAGAGGAAAAACGACAGCTTCCGGTTGGCGAATCCTTCTGTAACCTCGACGGTCGGAAACGGAGAAGCAAGTTCCCGCAACCGCTCTATTTAGATATTGACGACTCTATCCCTAATCTGATGAGAAGACCTGCATATTGTCGTCGCTCCAAAATTCGTGACGCACAGGTCAAGTCATGAAATAAACAGCCCGAGATTAACTGAGACATCTGCATGGGAATTAGGAAAACAAAGCTGCCACATTCTCACTTCCTGAATTTTACCGGCGTTGCCAATAATCAAGAGTCGTCTCTGATTTACCTCGAAACATTTCGACTTATGATATTCGTTTCCTAGATCCACCTGAATGCAAAATCACAGAGCGAGGAGCGGAGTATGTGGGAAAGAGAAGCGTGACGATATCCGGGGTCCCCTGCCTACCTTGGCTCATGATCGTATTTTTTTACATGTTGGATCCTCCACGGATGATCCTTAGGATTCCAGATGAAGTAGATGGAAGGCATTCGTATTGCCGCAACCCTGAAGGAGGGGGTTACGGTCCTTATTGCTACACCAGCTTCGAAGAGAAACATTGGGGGTATTGCGACGTTCCATATTGTCCAACCGTTGACAGTGAAAAATGCGATGTTCGAGTCGCAGGGCAGTGTGTCAGTGAGTAACGAAGTTTCATATTCCCACTTATTTTGGTCATGTGTAACCCAGTGCATATTTCCCATTCCACATGTTTTGAACTTTAAAGACAAAACTGCGAGACCTACAGGGGAGTGAAAAAATTCTATAGAACGACGCACTTCCAGTCGCAGCACACAATTTATTTGCCGTTTATATATATACTAGCCGACACGTGGAAGACTTCCATAAACTTTGCTCGGCCCAGACGAAGGGTGGATGTTGAATTTGTCCGACTCACGAAGATCTCTTCCACAGATGGATTTCGAAAAGCGGATATATAAAACATGTTAGCAATTGAAGCTTTGATATGATATTTGCTCATGCAAAATCTCACGCGCAACAAACCAACCTGAAGGGGTCCATCCGGCCCCACAGCTTCTGTTTGACACCATTGGCCTACGATAAGTGCGTGATATACTCTGGAATTCACGAGTTCACTCACTTCCCTCACTAAAATTGGGACCGTGTATAACACCTGAAGTCCCCTGTCATCCCGCCGATTGTCCAGAAGCTGGTGTCGTCCTCAAACTAATTCCTTGAATGTGCACGAACTAGAACCAAATATAGAAATAGTGGAAAATTCACATATAGTCATTGAAAGACCTATTCATGGAAACAATACTCAATTTTAACAAACCGACTATATAACTGTAAAAGGTGACGTCACATTGAAACCAAACACGTAGTTCTCCAGTGACTCCAACGACCGTTTGTTCGACTTCCATGATAGACTACTCTTCAACCAGTCTATGAACTAACTCCTTTACCCAACCGCACTCTACGAACTCTTTGAACTCTTGTATTGCTTTCCAGGCCCACTGGAATGCAAGATGGACGTGAAGGGGACGGCATATATTGGAACGAAGAATGTGACCCGCAATGGGCATAAATGCCTGTCGTGGATGAGCAAATCACCGTGGAGCCAAGATCCTGGGGATACTTCTGATATATATTACGACGATTCTTTTCCTATTACTGGTGACCTAGCAGTTCTTACAATTGATTTGGGACGGGACGACATGCACGCAAAACACAATTTCTGTCGGAACTTTTTGGGAGACGAAGACGGTCCTTGGTGTTTCAAGAGCGATGGGATTGGACGGGATTATTGCGATATCCCCATCTGTCCATAAGGCGTTCCACGCAACCAAGTACATTATTTTCGCTCTGATAGGCTGAACATTCACTAACAAAAGAATGATCTCATGTTTTATTTTTTCTGAACAGGTTTTCTCTTTGAGGTGGTTATTACAGTATTCTCTTCGCGGTCGAGCTCCGTCTCCAACATGGCAAGACACTTGGTCTTCTTGACGGCCGTAAAGAAGCACAGCCGTAGCATGTTGGCATGACCTTGTAGTTTTGAGGGCGTGAATATGCACTTTTGAATTCATATTTTGGGTCAAACATTTTATTGATCGAATATATCCGACTGCGAAATTGAAGGGATACGATCTCATCCGAACGCTCCACATTTTTCCAGAAGTGTTATGTTAAAATTATCCCAATTTATTTGAATTTCAGCCTTACGTAATATGCACTGGGAATGGAGTTGTTTGTTTGGGCTTAGGCAACTTCATTTTTTATCGTTTGTTTCCCCCTGGGCATTGCGCATTTCCACCGTGATTAAATTCCAAGAAGTGGCGGTGAGTGTTTGAAAGTGCGGATAATGTAATGATATGGACACGAAGAACGGGTTTTCCATTGGAAGACACGAACCTTTGACTTTCACCGACTTTTAAATGCATATGCGAAAGGCACACAAGAAGTCCACAACCTCTTATAACATATGCCACACAATTTCCATGAAATGCGTCACATGTAGTGACGATTTTCGAAATTCGTGCTCTTAAAACTTCCATTTCCAATTCACAAAGAATTATGTATTGAATTATTCACTAAGCTAAGGCCTGATGCTTCAATGAGGAAGACCGAAACCATCCGAAAGGATAGGATTTTGTCGACAAATAGAACGTCTTCGTCTGGTTAACGAAAGCAGTTTTTTTTTGTTGAGCGATCAGATCAAGATCTTCTGGACTTCATCAGTTAACGCGCAACGACTTTGAACTGTATTTACTTTGGCTTTGCCAAAATAGGGCGAACTGACTGATGATTTTACTGATTGGCAAGAAATCGGCGGCGAATGAATGATTTTCCTTGTATTTTCGCCCGGTGACGATGAATAAAACTGCTGCACAAATTTCATGATTATATCTTCTTGAAAGGTCAATCCATGTTTATGATCGTCAAAAAGCTGGTGTCGTCCAGAAACTGGGTCCGTGAGTGTCCACAAAATTTAACCAGATTGTTCACAAATAGGAACAGATTGGAGATCCACGTATGATTAATTAAATACCTATAGTTGGAAAAGTATGGAATCACTACTAAATTTTTGAGTAGGCATACTGTATGTAACGACTAACGAGTTTGTTTGCCCGAAGGGTGATATTGTAATATCGAATATAAACTTTTCGAAAGACACAAACAAAATGGCTTTTAGTGGGGTTGGACGAATGAACAGACGGCAATTTTTATTGCCTTCATGCGCTATGGACAAAGGACTGACATTTGAAGATGTGATGGTTTCAAACATACCGATTCGAACGACAGGCGCAGAATTCTCTCGATTCCACGACTACTATGATGTTGAAAATTATTTGGACTGGAAATTCGTTTTTGGCGTCTACATTGATGGAGCTGCTGCCACGACAGGCTAATACTTACAGAATAATACAGAATGCGAGACCTTGGCACTCCGTCGGTAATTTCAGGGAAAAAAGGGAACATATGTTTTACGGGAAAAAAAAATTTTTATCACAGCCAATTTGGGGGAAAATAAAATTTCTTTTTTCCAAATAATTTCACAGACCCAATATATATCTTACTCCAGATATATTCTAAAGAGACGTCCGTACCGTGAGAGGGTTTGGCGCGAATCAAATGTTAACTCTTAATAGAAATAATAATAAATCCTGTTGGCGTTTCGTCGGACAGGGATAAAGACTGGTCGGATTTTACAAGGGGACGTATGAGCCGCTGGCGTCTCCGGATTAACCACCCGATGGATTAACCCCACCGGTTCTGCTGAATCGGCGAACGTTCCTCAAGCGATTCTTCAAAAAAGGAGTCTGTTTTGTGCAAGTTTTCCTCTGATATCGGATAATACAAACAAACTCTAGCGAAAACGGTCAAAGCGAGAACGACGTCAGATTTATATAGCCTGAACCCGCTAATATCACTCGAAGGGCAAAGGGTTGTCTATTCGCTCGCCTGCCACCAAGAGCCGACACTTATTCCCGAGTTTGATCAGATGTGAGTAGCCTGTGGGCTGCTCATGATGCTAATCGAAACCGTAAAATCTGACAACATATTGCATAGCGGAGATCAGCAATTCCCAAACGAAGAGGGAGCAATGGTTGGAGTCGTCAAAGAGGAAGTCTTCATCAAGTCTTCATCAGGTCTTCATCAAGTCTTCATCAGGTCTTCATCAAGTCTTCGTCAGGTCTTCATCAAGTCTTCATCAGGTCTTCATCAAGTCTTCATCGAGTGTTCTTCCACATCGTCTCTTCGATCCACGGAACGAACCTGGTAATGGCAAAATAAATTTCTGATATTCGTCGATGAGCGCGAAGAGAGACGCGAGGGGAAATACACGCACCGATTGACCCGGGTGAAGACGCTATACTGGCCGGGTTGCCTCGCCGAGCATTCCTCCTTGCTGAAGAAGTGGCTCACGATGCCCTCCACCGACCAGCGGCTCTCCAGCGATGGGTGGGAGGGGAAGACCATGGGGCTGCCCGAGTCCCCGCGGCACACCGTTTGGTATTCTGTTTTGCGACACACCCGGTTTCCCCTCTTTCAGTGGGTTTTGGCACTCGCCCGAAAAGTCGGGTGCAATTGATTTGGGGAAGCGTTTGCCGATTCTTTCAGGATGGGATTGATGGTTCTTGAGCAGTACCGATGTACCGTAACCGTAAGAATGAGATCGTATTTGATTCTATTTCTTACTTGAACCTTCTCCATAAGAAATTTGTCGTCGTTCATTTTAAAGCCTTATTATTTTCCCGTGTTGAGGAAGTTTGGTTGATGACGGTCGGTAATGAGCGATTGAACAATTAAAATTTGGAAAATGTGGTCTAAAGAATCTCTTATTCCTACTAAAAANAAGTCTTCATCAGGTCTTCATCAAGTCTTCATCAGGTCTTCATCAAGTCTTCGTCAGGTCTTCATCAAGTCTTCATCAGGTCTTCATCAAGTCTTCATCGAGTGTTCTTCCACATCGTCTCTTCGATCCACGGAACGAACCTGGTAATGGCAAAATAAATTTCTGATATTCGTCGATGAGCGCGAAGAGAGACGCGAGGGGAAATACACGCACCGATTGACCCGGGTGAAGACGCTATACTGGCCGGGTTGCCTCGCCGAGCATTCCTCCTTGCTGAAGAAGTGGCTCACGATGCCCTCCACCGACCAGCGGCTCTCCAGCGATGGGTGGGAGGGGAAGACCATGGGGCTGCCCGAGTCCCCGCGGCACACCGTTTGGTATTCTGTTTTGCGACACACCCGGTTTCCCCTCTTTCAGTGGGTTTTGGCACTCGCCCGAAAAGTCGGGTGCAATTGATTTGGGGAAGCGTTTGCCGATTCTTTCAGGATGGGATTGATGGTTCTTGAGCAGTACCGATGTACCGTAACCGTAAGAATGAGATCGTATTTGATTCTATTTCTTACTTGAACCTTCTCCATAAGAAATTTGTCGTCGTTCATTTTAAAGCCTTATTATTTTCCCGTGTTGAGGAAGTTTGGTTGATGACGGTCGGTAATGAGCGATTGAACAATTAAAATTTGGAAAATGTGGTCTAAAGAATCTCTTATTCCTACTAAAAACAAAAAAAAAACTTGTTGAGAATCTAGCCTTTAAGAACAAGATCGCAAGGGTCTCATACGGCATTAACAACACAGAAGCCTCGTTAACCAATCCAGTCGATCAGCGCATGTTCCAGAGCACCCTTGATTGACCACCCTGGTTGGGGCCGGTTCGCCGGATCGTGTCTCACCTTCGACGGGAGTATCTTGATCGTGCCCGGCGCAGAACATGTTCGAGTTGAGAGTCACCGGGTGGTCTCGGGACACGCTGATCATTTCCCGACTGCAGTCTTTGTTCGATATAACCGGGAGCTCCACTTGGGTCAGGGTGGCGTCTCGCTTATTGGAGCCGTTCAGGCCCCAGCCAGCCACCTGCCACCGAACATCGGAAACGATCAATGTTCGCACTGAAAATAGCGTAGTTCAATGAAAATAGACTCCCTTCATGAAAATAGCTTGTTTTCAGGAAAATGCCATTATTTCACGAAAATATCCTTGTTTCACGAGAGAGAGCCTCTCCGTTCAGGCAGCGAACCGAAGGCGCCTCACCCATCCTCTTGTCCCGTTCTCGAGCTTGGAGTCGTCGAACCGGGCCGGAAGGCAGACCAGCTGGACCTGCGAGGTGAGCAGCGCCGGGACCTCCAGCTTCAGGAGAGCGACGTCCGAATCGAAGTTCAGCAGACTGAAGTCTGGCATGAATATCTCAGTCACCTCGGGGAAGAAATTGCGCTGAATTGGTTTAGTTGGATGACTCAAGGTTTTCGTTATGAGATAGAGATGTTAATTCATTAATCCGGTTAATTGCCTCGCAAAGTGTGTCACATGTTTCTATGTTACCTGCAGGATCAGAGGCGTTTCCATCACGTCATGAATTTCTGGTCTTATTAATCCCTCGGCACCATATTTTTACGGGAATATTTGTCGCTTTTTAAGTCTGCAGTCCATCATAACTAGCTACAACTTGAACCAGAGCTGCTAGTCAACCATACACAGGGTAACACCCAACCCGTGCCCCTCAATTTAAGACTAAACCTGATATCCCCATCACAACCACGCACTTCTAGGAAAATTGTAACTAAATCTTGTAACTAGAATTGTAACTAGATCGGAGTAAACCGAAACGAATGCGAGAAGTTAAGACTTTTTCCCCCGCAAAACTGTCCGATTGAAGTCTTCTCCAGTTTAACCGGCTTCATGGGAACAAGCCCTTTCATGTTTGGCAATGAATGCAACAAAAAGTCATAGTAAGCAGACCATGCTATCAACAGTCAATTATAAAAAAACGAAGTGGCATATATTGTGGGATGGCAAGAGTGTCCAAACGAAAAAATGACGGATTAAAAATTAGGCAAGAGAATACAGGAGTCGCCTAATTATTGGATTGTTTTGAACCTCCCATTTCAATGACTTTGCCTCCCAATTGACGCAATGCATATACAGGGTGGCTCAGAAGTCATAGGGCAGTTAGTGATACAACCTGCAATCACTACAATTTTATTTGCAAAAACTTCAAAGCGCTTCATGTGGTTGGCCACCGTGTCTCGCTTTATCGACCGGTCAAACTGCGCTCTAAAACGGCCGCACGTCTCACTCTTGTTTTCCGTTTTGTGAAATGTCTTCACAATAATGACACACTCTTCGTTTGTGTACCGTTGGTAATTACGATGCTCCATACTTGCAACCTCTATGATTAGTGATCATGAAATTAAAGTAAAAATCAATTAATAATCAAAGTAATGATAATAAGATTATAATAAAATTGTAGTGACTGCTGATTGCACCACTAGCTGCCCCATTATTTCTGGGCCACACTGCATTTTGAGGACGAGGCAACCAGCCATTACATCATGTGAAATATTCTTTACCATTTGATCATCTCGTATGCACATCAGGAGTTCAATTTATATATTCCTGCATAACATAATACGCAATGCCCTGATTTGCTTTAGAGTACCATTCTCCGCTGGACGTGTTCGTTGTCCAGGGAGTCGTTCCGGTAGTATTTCCCCAGGTAGACGACGAAGTCCTTCGCTCTCCGCGTCCTCGTGGTCCCGTCGACGGTGACGCAATGCGCGGCCGTGAGCACCCAGCGCTCCGCGATGAGCGCTCCCCCGCACACGAGATCCTTCCTCTCTCCGTCGTAGAGGGCCGCCTGCCACGGCCACTCCCCCTTCGCCGCTGGCTTCCCCCCCGCCGACAGCTTCACCTGCTGCACCTTCCTGCCGCATTCTAGGAAAAAATAAGAATAAGAATTTTTAAATATGGTATTATATAGTATTTATAGTATTATATTGTTTTAACAAATTTAGTAAAATATAGTTTTATGCAAAAAATTGTACTGATTAAAAATTGTTCTAAGCGAGAAATTATACTTAGAAACGTACAAACTTAAATAGAACTTCGTTTTGGATCACGTTAAAGTAAAAGTTGACAGACCGGCCTCGCAGAACGGACTGTGACCCGTCCATTGTTCGCCCTTCCTGCAGGTCCGAACGCTCGATCCCCTCAGGATGTAGAACTGGTCGCACTTGTAGGTCACGGTGCTTCCGAGCGCGTACTTCCCGTCGCGGATGCAGTCCGGCTCTCTGCCGTCGCGATGGCTGCCGGTCCTGCGAGAGTTAACGAACGAATTTCACGGAGGCGTCGGTACTCGAGCGGTACTTGCCGGTGGTACTTCCGTTCGGCCGACTCACCTCTCCCCTCCGCCCAAACAGGAGATCCTGAAAAATCCGTGCTCGATGCCCGAGAGCTGTCCGCACCCGACTTCGTCGTCAGCTGCAAGTCGGCAGAAGCACAGCGATCGATCGAATCTAAAAATCCCCTTAAATATATTTTAATTAGGGCAATCAGGTAGCAACAGAACTCATTTGAATTACAATCACCAGACATTGGACTCATCGATGAGCCTAGAAGTCCACAAATTTTCGTTGTTCAACCCTTTCAGACCTGAATTAAGGCCACCATCGGAATAACATATTTTGTTGCATTCATTTTTAGGTCTTTCGCAAATGTAATTTAAATTGTTATGCTTCAAATATCGTTTGTAAATTTTGTATGAATTTACCATGCCATACCACTTATTGCATTATAATATAATGCATTATATATTAAATTACATAACTGAGGATTACAAAACTGACAGGCGAAAAAAAAAGGTCCGATGGGACTGAGCCATGCATAATGGCACCCATTGTAGCCTATAATGGTGCGCAAAGTCACGAATGAATCCCAAGAAATTCCCCAAGACGCCAGAAAATGCAATGCCCATTGGAATGGACGGCGGGTCGGAATGGGTTCGAAGCATGCTTCGTTCGTGTGAAGGCAGTCAATCCTCGTTCTCTGGAAAGAGCGCCTTCATTCTCGCACTCGACCTCCACAATGGCGACGAATGGTCGCCGTTGTCACTTTTTTTTATGACGGCATTCCCTCTGAGGTTCGGAAATTAATGAAGGGAGATGATGATAATGATAGCGATAATCCTGTAAATGATGATGTAAATGATGATTTAAATTTAGCCACGTTTTTCGTCGTGACAAGGTGGCGCAAGGGACTCGTGTGGAAACTTCAACCTGCCACAAAGTGCGGGAAATGCACTCTCCGTCTGAAGGCCTTGCGATTAAAGCAACTGGGGAGAGGGATTATTTGGCAACACCCTTGCAAATTGTGGGATCTCAACCTCTTCGCTTCCTTCGCTTTTTTCCAGATCCCGACAGGAATTTAGACCGGAAGGAGGAGCATCTACATGCAGCTTAAATGCAATTAGCGTGGTTCAAACTGGAATTCGATTCGCTGCGTTGGTAAGGTTGGAAATTTCTTATGATTGAGTTTAAAGGATGCATTTTTTAATGCAGCATGTTCATTTTGAAACAGAAATGGTGTATGTCCCGTGGACGTTGACGTATACATATATATATTTCTCGGGAAAACAAAGTAACACAAGTGGCGGAATTGAATCTCTGAAACTCCAATGGTATCGAAGAAAACATGGAATGAATAATAATATAAATACTCCGGCTGGTAAAAAGGCTGGAACCGGACTACGTTTGTTCGAGTTCTGTACCCGTATCCACCCGCATGTACTCACTTGTCTCGGGAATTTTTTTCACAGTCGTTGGGCTCTTCGAGAGGAGAAGACTGGCCGTGAAAGTCGTCTCGTAGAAGTTGGTCGAGAGCAAGGACGTGGCGTTCGCGAAGACACCGGGCACGTCCGCCGGCTGGCACTGGATGATCGGGAGGGACAAGAGGCCTGCCAGCTGGAAAACCCACGAATTTCGGTTAATGAACATGGACGTTAATGCCTGAGAGGATTGAAGAGACATTTACCCTGTAGAAGCCGGAGCTGGCGTCCTTGCAGATGAGCGGGGCGCCGGACTCCCCGCACCAGACGGCGGAGAAGGCGACACACACGGAATTGAACGGCAGATTACTCCCCTCCAGGATCTTCTCCTGGCACACGCTCGGATCCACCACCGCCGCCGCGTACTCCACCGGCTCCGTCTTCACCGCCTCCCCAACTGCAACGCAGAAGACATCGCGTCACCGCGTCATCCCTCGCGGCACGGCGGCGACAACCTCCCCACCTCCGATGCGACTGACGAGCCTGCACTCCGAGAACTCCTGGAGGCCGTTCGCGTCCTGAGTGCACAGCAGGCACGCCTCCTCCTCCGCCTTCACCGGCTTCTCGAGGATGATCATCCCCAAGTCGTTTTCGAACGTTTCTTCGCGGAATTTTCGATGCAAGAATTTCGCGACGATGTGGTTGCGGACCGGACTCCCGGCGACTCTAATCGCCAGCTGCTCGATCTCATACTGCCTAGCATTAAAAAAATTACAACACAAATTAATCAATTTTGGCATCGATGTCATCAATGTATCTGAAATGGTGAATATATGATGAAATGTTTGAAATTATGAAAACATACTGGTGGAAGAAAAAGCAGGAGGCAGTGGTGACGACGAACTGGCGCTCGATGAGGGCCCCGCCGCAGAGCATCTTACCGCTCGAATCCACCAGGACAGCATTCCAGCAATGTTGCACTGGGCCGGAGTTGGACGCCGTGCCGCTGCCTTCGATCCAGCACGTCTCGTTCGTCAGAATCGATGTCGGAAGAACTAATGAAAAAGAAAGATAACTGCGTTAGTATACCATTCAATTTTAACTTTAATAATTTAAATTAAGATTTTTTTAAATACCACTGGGGCATCCCCAACCGGGCAGGCGAAAATCGCCGGTATTCCTGAATCCTATTCTCTCCCGAATTCATAGAGAGTAAGGGTAACGAGTCGCGGAGAAAGCGAGGGACAGGAAAGGGCCAGACTGCCTCCGGGCTTGGGATCCGTTTGGGCCAACCCCTTCTCTTTTCCCTTCAACCCCCACCGCTGCCGTATCTTTTTAGAGCTATTTTCCGGTCGTTTAGATGGAGCGTGGCGGGTCGATATTTATTCATCTCCTATTGTCTTAATCTCGAAACTTATTGATGATTCCTTCATGGCCTCATTAAGAAATTGATAATTTGATAATTAATTATGATGAAAATAGCATTGCCCCAGTATATTATCATTATATTATCAAGTACTTGGCGCACCTCGGGATCAGGATTCAGGAAAGTTGACGTGATAATAACAAATGCCTTGTGGCAATCAATGTACTCAGACGTAGAAAATGATTCAAATTGAAAAGAAAATCATATTTAAAAAATACCATTTAAATTAAAATTTTCAGGCTATCGATTCTGTTCGTGAAGTATGAATAACTTGTCTTCGCAAAGCCCTTAGCAGGAAGTGAATGGACTTCAAATGCATTCCCTATGTCAAGAGTCCGTACCGTAAAGCATCGACCAGAAGTTAAGCATCGACCGTTAAGCAAAAAAAAATCAACTCTCTACCTTCCAAGACCAAGGAAAAAATTAAGGCGGAAAAAGGGGGGGGGCTTCGCGATACCTCTATTGGAGGCCACTTCAAATTCCCTCTTCTCGATGGAGGTCTTGAAGGCGCAGCAGCGAAGCTTCCCGGCGCACCGGAACAGGTCGGTGAAGTCCCGATCGCCGTGGGCCCTGCAGGCCTCGGAGAGGTAGGCCGCCATGCAGCGGCCGATGGAGGGGTCGCAGTTCACCTGGCAGCAGTATATGTCGCCTTCGTTGCAGTCGGGTTTCATTCCGTTCGTCTTTCCCGGTGAGCAGGACCGAGAGGTGGATTGGGGGACGCATTTGTACTCGCAAGGTGGCAGAGAAGGTCCCTTAGAAGAACCCTTGATGGGAGGCTTAGAGGGAGCATTGGAGGGAACACTGGAGGTGGCATTGGAGGGAGCATTGGAGGTGACATTGGTTGGAGCATTGGTGGGAGCATTGGAGGTGACATTGGAGGTGGCATTGGAGGGAGCATTGGAGGTGACATTGGAGGGAGCATTGGAGGGAGCATTGGTGGGAGCATTGGTGGGAGCATTGGTTGGAGCATTGAATGGAGTCAGAGCGACACAGCACACTTGATTTTCATTGCATGACGAATTCCAAATATGAGTTCCGGGTTCGCACCGGCGTTGCGCCGAATCGGCTGGAAGACACGCATGAGTGGATGGACACGATTGCGTCCCCAACTGACTCTGCACGACAACCTGTCCGCCGTCTCGCGGAATGTGACAGCAGATTTGAGTCTCGAGGGGGCAGGCGAGGGACGAGATGGACCTCGTATCGCAGAGCGCGGCGTAGGCCGCATCGATGCACGAGGACCCGTTCGCGAGGGGACACTGGGGACTGGGCGTTACCGGAGTCCCTTCCGTCACCGGAGCCGCCGTGGTGCTCGTCGGTTGGCAGCAAAATTCCCCAGGACGACAGTTGTCCTCCTTCAAGTGGATCAGGGTGCCCGGCGCGCAAAAAGGAACCTCCTCGGCACTAATGCACTTGTAAGGACACACCCGGCAATTTCCCAAGGAATCCAGATGCAAATTCTCGAGTTCAGTTCCGTTTTCGCATTTGCCATTTCTCACATTCGCCATCCATCCCTCGGCGAAGGCGAGCCAGTACAACCCGCAATCGCACTGGATGGGATTCCCTGCAAGCAATAATCATTTGCTAGGGCTCGTTTGCGCAAGTTTTCAGATGAAATTAAGTTTTCAGATGAAATTAAGTTTTCAGATGAAATTAAGTTTTCAGATGAAATTAAGTTTTCAGATGAAATTAAGTTTTCAGATGAAATTAAGTTTCCAGATGAAATTATGTCGAAAGTCTGGAACTCACCTTGCAGATCGATGAATCCCTCCCCGAGGGAGAGGACCTGCATCATGGGGTGGAACGCATCGTCCGGCAGATTGGTGATGCCGTTGTTCCGTAGGTAAATCTTCGTGTCCGGCGTGAGGCCTGAAATGAGCGTCGAGGAATGCCTGCAGTCCGCTTTGCATGGATCTTTCGCGGCCGATCAAGAAATGTCCCGGGAGGGACCACGAAGTGAATGATATTCGTGATGTTTTTCGTCGGTATGTACGTTATGTCTGAGTGCCAGCGAGTTGGTGATTCTACGTTTCTCGCACTTTGGTTGACCGACGAAAACAATCATTTCGGCCTGATCGCCGAGGATGATGCGACATGTCAGGCTGTGAAACGTTTGCAAGAAAAAAAGGGGTTTTTGGAATGTTATCGTATTGCATTATTTATGGTGTTCAGAGAATAATTCACAAATGAAAAAAGGGGTTATAATTTCGGTAACAAATTAATTTTCCTATTAATCATCTTCATCAGCCTCAACTTCTCGCCACCATTCCGTCCTTGCCAATCTACGCTGCTGAAACGCCAAACGTGCGGTCTTGAAAGGTCCCATGACCATCGTTATAACCATCATTATAGGACCCGTATCCAACGGTTGGTGGCCTGGCTAGGTTTCACTTGACAAACGAACAGGAATCCATGGCATTTTCTACGATTTGACTACTTCGCTTTGGAAATCATTTCTGTGGAATCCCTAAAGTCACATTATTTCCTTTTCGATATTACAGAAAGCCTAAACATGAATTTACAAATTTAGGGATGAGACAATCCAGTAATTCTGCTGGCATCATTGAAAAGGAAAGAAATATCCCGAGAAGCCACGAAGGCAAGATTTTAAAATCTAAAATTCAGAATTTCGTCTTCCTCGAGGGCATACGGAAGTCACACTCAGGTTATCCGGAGGTTGGACGGGCAGGTCACCTCTGATCGCTCTCGGCTCCAGCCGGGAGACGCCGTTGAAGTCGAGCCGCACCTCCGCGAGGGCCTTGCTGCGGAACTCCAGCGCCCCGGCCGGGAGCGTCGGCCCCAGGCCCAGCCCGGATCCGTCGAATTCCTCCAGCTTGTCCAGGTTCTTCGTGATCGCGCTCCGGATCTTCAGTCCGGGGTTGAAACCTGCAACGTTGGGAGGCACGCAGGTTTCCAGTAAGGCGGTTCACATAATGATTCAAAATAACATCCACATAAAGCAGGAAAAATTTTCGTTGGTACGCTGAAACAATTGAAACAAATGAGGTATACTTCGGTTCACCTCATTTATTCTGCACAAGGTGGGGGTTTTATATTTTTTGGGGGTGGGGGGGGATGCTTTAGGATGAATATATAATACATGTACCGGTGCAGCGCTCGCAATTAAAAATAATTGCACCTTCAAATCTGGAAGTAAACAGGACTGAAATGACACACGTTTAGAAAGGAGATCCCTTTTCATGTAAAAAAAAAAATCATTTCAGTTGTAAAGTGCCGCCTGCAAGCCGGTGAAAATAAGTCGTACTCAGCAGTCGCTGAAGATTTTGGTCACCGCTTGTTTTTCGCCGATTTCTGCTTTGCTATTGAGGAGTACACGTATTGGCATAATAATGCGAATAATCTATTCAAGGCGCTCGACGGACGCAACTCATCTGTTCAAGTTTCATCAAATTCTTACGTGTTCACTCTTACTTAATTCAGAAAATTTTCCATGAATGTCTAAATGACAAACGGATGACAAAGGAAAGGCAGAGGGGCTGGAGGGTCAAACACGATGCAGCGATTGCAAACCAGTCACTCACTGATGTTGATCGACCGCAAGTTCGGCGTCGCCCATCCGTCGTCGTCGAGCCTGAGAATCGCGTTCCTCGCGAGCGAGAGCCTCCTTAGGCTGGGGCTCTGCAGCGCCGGGACGGACGCTAGGGAATTGCCCTGGAGGGAGAGCGCCTCCAACCGCTCCAGCTCGGGGAGGAGGTGGAACGGGAACTTTACGAGCGGGCTGTCTTCCACCGTCAGCCGAGACAGCCGGTGCTTGGAGGACAGCAGGGCCGACGGAGGCACGGTCTTCACCGTGGTGTTCCTCACGTGTATGACCTTGAAGGCGACTTTGCCGAACGCTTTTTCGGGCAGCTCCTTCACGTCCACGTTGTCTTGCAGTCTGAAAATCCTGCGAGTGGAGAAATATGCACATTCATTGCCACGATCTTGATTTCAGAGTGAAGGCCTTGGTTAATTCATGCATTTTAACTCGCATTACTTGTCACTTAGTAAGACCCGCACGCGTAAATTCCGAATGTCGGGACCTGCACCTGGATAAAGGTCCGTTGATGGACATGACATGAGTAGATCCAGATTCCCAAGCTTTTTTTCATTAGCTACTTGCGATCGACCCACTGAAGTGAGAGGGCTGGTCTTCTATATATTAGGTCTGGCAATAAGGTGCCATTCCTGCTGGCCGTATCGAAACTAAGGACGGTTAAAGACGCAACGACTTCTAACCATCGTATTACAGTGCATTAGTTGTTCACTCGTGGACCTGTTTCATTGGAAGAATTTTCTTTCGTGGCTCCAAGAGACATCCACCGTGACTGAAATTGCTCCGTATATGGAATAACTGTGCAAGTGAACATTGAAAAGTGCGAACGGTAACATTGTGCGAAGAACCGCCGTTCAGCCTGTGACTTCAACAACGGGAGAAAATAAGAAACATTTTTTTCTCTCGTTTATCTGAAAAACGAACGGAAAAGGGTAAAAATGAGTCTCACCAAGTGTGGTTGGCCGACCAGGAGGCATTCGCCAGAGCGGCGGAAATTTCCGTGCTCGACGCGGCGAGGGAGCAATCCACCGTGAGGTCGCCGTCCTCCGCGACGTCCGACCACTTCCCGTGCGAGCAGGTGCAGGGCCGGATGTCCTTGGCCGGACAGGCGTTCTTCTTCGCGCCGGACGCCAGGGAGAGGAGGAAGAGGACGAGGATCCTTCCCGGCATCTCGATAGGATCGAGGTTGGACGAGATTTTCGCTTAAAAGCTGCTTTCGTGGGTCATCGATGGAGGCCGACGAGAGTCTCTCGAAACTTCCTGTTTTTGATGAAGGTTTCCGGTGAATCAAGGAAGTTTTTAAGATCATCTTGATTTCGATATATATTATTAAACATATATTGAAATTATTATTATCCATATTAAATTATTGCAATAATGCTCTTAAGATTGGGAACGATGGAAGAAGCACTCAAAGAGGACATAGCGCTTGTGGGCGCCCGGCAATATGGATTGAGGATTGGGTTTTCATTTTAATTTTGCCATATATAATTCGTGCGAACTCTTCGACCATGCGTCGGCCTCTGCCTTTAACGTCCAGGAACGTCTCTGCCGCAAGATGTGCTGCATCGAGCACGTGCCGTCAGCACGTGGTGTGATTTCCGGTTCTCACGCACCACTCGCGTGCCGGGCGTGCTTACTTACCATGTAGCACTTTGCAGGACGTACGCACAGCCGCCTGTTGAAGTCCGTTGCTTAGCATCGGGAGCATTCGAGGATGGTCCTCCTCAAAAATTGTCAACTTTTAAAAAGTGGGATGGAAAACGATGGAGTAAATAAGAAGCACAACTTCCCCATGGAAGATTCTTCATTCGAATGTCCTCCACCCCTACCCCTTATATACACCATAAACCCTCCATATACCCTACATCCCCCTATGCCATACATACACCCTTCCACTAACGTCCCCCCTACACCCCCTACCAATGGTGTGTAACCTTTTCCCCATAAAGGGCCAAATTAAGATTTCATTTCATGTACGAGGGCCGCAGATACCACCAAAGATCGTGTCTGCCTCACCCATTTATTTATGAGCCTTAATGAGACTTTGGGCTTTGCTTTTCAAGGACCAATTTCTCTTCATCCGGTTGCAAGGAGGAAGTTGATGTGTGCATCATTGTTTCAAGATTTTCATCTCAAGGTCATATTTAAAAAAAAATCAGGTTGGGATATCTGTCCTTTGCCAGTAGAAATTCAAATCCGGCAAATTTCCTTCTCCGAACTTGGATTGAAGTGGATTGCCGCTTTTGAGATCAATTAATTCTAATTGAAAATCTGGATCTACTTCCTCTGTTGCGACAGAGAAGGTATTTGAAAATTTTCTGATCATAATGCGTGACTCTTGAAGTCAGCAGATCCGAGATGAAACGCGTCTTGCAGTTTCTTAATGTATCCTGAATGTTCGCGACTTTTTGTTTCCGGAACGATTCATTGGCTACGGGAACGATGGGAGAGTCGATTTTTTTTATTTAAAAGCTGTGCATCATAAAGGAGTTCCAGTTTTTGCTTGAAGAACGGTCACGTGACTTGCAAGATCTGAAATTAGCGGCAATTTTCACGCGAACATTCAACTCATAGGAGTGGGACGAAAGGTCGGTAAGAAAAGCAACGTGACTCGACCAAATCTTCTCTTGGCGCTTGTCAACAGACTTTCTCGATCGGGGAACACTTTTGATTCCATTCAGAATTTGAGGAATCTCACGAGAACTTTGTCTCTGCCGCTGGACTTCGCAGTGGACTTCGGACTTCGGGTCATTCCGCGCCAATTCGACCAGCTAGTAAGCTCGACCTACCCTGAGTTCGACGAAAATCAGGATACACGTTGAGGAATCGACATAATGAGCACAATCTCAGCCAATTTTCCGTCTCTGCCACAGATCTCCAGATACATGCCTTTTAATGAGAGCTAATTTTCGCTCCAAGCGCCCATACGGACTGGAATTGTAAAACCGTTTTTGCAATAACTTCCCCTCCAGTTAAGGTGAAAGCTTCATTGTGGTGTCACTTTAATTGTGAGATTGCCCTTTTTAAATGGAGTCCAAGCATTATTCACGCCTACAAACCCCATATCCCGACATACACCCAACCAACAACACATCCTCTATCCGGACATACCCCCATCCCCCAACATAACCAATATCCCTGACAAACCCCCCTGCCCCAACATACGACCTCCCCCGGCATACTACCTACCGCGCCATATCCCCGACCTATCCCTACACCCGACTTGCTCCATCCCTGACGTACCTCCAGTACCAGACATACCCCCAATACCCAACATTCAACCTCTACCTCCAGGCATACCTCATTCCCCCTGACATACTCCCTACCCCCGACATACAACAACAAGTTAATTACTCCACCCCCTCTCCTCTTCCCCAACCGGAATAAAAACTTATGCAGCTACTGCTCTATATAAGCTGGTCTTTCAACGTTTACGCCCTGGGACATCAAGTGCGTCGGAAACCCTTGAAAATGAAAATGTATGCTAAATCATATCTTCTTTTTTTTCCCGCAAATAAAGTGAGGTATTTTGCAATCATGAGACTCCCGGAGTCTGAAGATCATCATGATGAATCGTTTCTCCTGGAGTTTTCCCTTGACTTTTTTTTTTTTTTCTTTTTCTTCCATAACCTTTTCCTTGGCATATCTGAACGAGTTGGAAGCATTATCTTCTTGCAGATGAAACTGTTCATTAGCTGAAGATCAGCTTCTTTCGCGCGGTGGGAATTTAATGAGACTTTTTTATATGCGGCTAAAACTCATTTCAATCAGCAGTGACATCATTTACATATGTTTTACATATGTTTTATTTCATGTGTTGCGTCTCATGGCATTGCAGGACATTTACCCTCGTCCTTTTTTGTTTGGAGGAGGAAGATCCGTGACCTTGAGGTCAACCGTCTTCCTCGCGGATGCTAAGGCGGCACAGCGGGCATGTGTGTCACGAGAATGAGGAAGCGCGTGACTCGAGTACAGATGACCTCCCTAATGCACTCGAGTACAGATGACCTCCCTAATGCACTCGAGTACAGATGACCTCCCTAATGCACTCGAGTACAGATGACCTCCCTAATGCACTCGAGTACAGATGACCACCCTACCCGAATCGCACGGGGGGGGGAAAACAGGGAAGCTTCGATGGGAATAGATTGACTCCCCAAGATTCAGCGCAGAAAGTACAGCGAAGACTGCACTGACGCCTTTTCCCCCATTTTTATGGACTTCTCCCATTTTTTATGGACCGCTCGAGAGTCTCATGAGGCTTCCACTGCGCAGCACGCGGCCGCTCCTCAACCCAAGCCGAAATGAATATGCATTCCACAGGGTGTTTCAAAAGTGACTGCGCCCTAAAACAAAATCGCTGTGTTGCAGATACATCGATCGATTTGGACTTTGCTCAACTTGCTTAACTGATCATGAATTTCAGTTCAAACTGATTTCCTTTTACGTCTGATCAGATCTGTCGGGTTTTCGTCGCATCGAATCGCTAGCAGAGAGTGGCTGGCTTCTTTTTCTGGACGAGACTGGCCCTGTCCCTAATGCACAGTTACTTTCGAAACACCCTGTAGCTTATGATTCCCCCCCTCCCTAGAGTTAACACTCGCCCATTGCGTTCGCCAAGTGCCGGTGAGTACTGGTGGGAAGTCCACGCGGACTGAACTGGTTCCCGTCCCGTTTAAAGGGAAAATTTTAAAATCAGTTATCAAGTTGGAGGATCAGCGTTTCTAAGAGAAAATTAAACCGTGAAAAATAAATTCAAGGGCGGAGAGAACGGCAGAGGGTGAATCGCACGGGGTCGTCGTTTGAAGGTCGCACGGTCACGATTTGAGGGTCGCAGTCTCGAGATGCTCGCTTTTGCAATGTCACGGGCGGGACGAACGCGAAAACCGTTGGAGGTCCGTTGGAAACCGTTGGAGGTCCGCGAAAACCGTTGGATGGGACCGGGCCGGCGAGTCGCGAGTCATCAACGAGGGCCGAGGGAGTGACGCGGGATGACGTTGAGTGACGCGGGATGACGTTGAGTGACGCGGGATGACGTTGAGTGACGCGGGATGACGTTGAGTAACGCGGATGATTTCCGTGTGCAGTGAAGGAAACGAAACCGGAAATTTCACGAAATTATTATTATCCTCGTTCGATCGGTCGCTGTTGCCACCAGCATGACGGTCGAAGAGTCGTTCATATTTGCGACCGTGCAGGCATTTTTTATGACTTAAAAATAAAAAAGAAATCCACTCACCATTAATCCTCGTTAATCCTCATTAATCCTCATTTCGTTGCGGGGGGGCAACGATGATCGCACATTCCCGTTTCGCTTACGTGACCAAAGACCAGTCGAGTTCGAAAAAGGAAATCGCACCTAATTGGCATCTAATAGGCATCTAATAGGCATCGGTGAGTGACGGTGCGACTCAATCGCTTATCGCCTGAGTCAGGCGAACGTCGAAAATAATAAAATCTTATATATTATATAAACTTTACTCGATTTACTAACATTAATTTACTCAATGATTATTCATAAAGAAAATATTACTTTTTAAAACATTTTTTTCTCCTGGACTCAGCTTTATTTATGGGTCGCCATGGGCAAAATCATCACGAAAGCGAAGGGTCGGTTCGTCTCCCGAAACGACTCAATTCGCTCCGGGAAATTCCGTGAGAAATTCCGTGAGAAATTTCTGCGATGGAATTTGCTTTCTCTCGGAGCGGCTAGAAGGCCAACGAGGACTGTACTTTGACCGTCGGTTAATATTGATTGAATGTTGCCGACCGACGAGTTTTTATGCACGATCTCGCTATTTATCAAGAAAAACCAATTATATCCATAATTTTCATTAATTATGATTTAAAAAGAAAGGGGGGGGGGGGAAATTACCTTTGTGAGACTCCTCAACATAGCCAACACCTCACGACGAAGAAGCGTCGAGACTTTACGGTCTCTCTAAGGAGAGCATTCCCGACGAGACCAACATCTCGAAGGGATGCACTGCGCGAGCACAGTGGACGAGCACAGTGGACGGGCACAGTGGACGAGCAGAGTAGATCCGCCCGCTGCGGGTGAAGCGCGAGGGAGAGAAGCACGTGGGAAGCGGGCCTTGAACGCAATTGCACCTCGGGCAATTCCCTTCCCTCCGTCTCTCCTCGGAGAATGTTCGTCCTCTCCTTTTTGCCCTCGCAGAGATTCCGCGCATTAAGCCACTTAGTACTTCGTGATTATCCCGATTTAGTCTCTTCTCTTCTCTAATGGTATTCGTCCCCTTAAGGACAACCGCTCCCTCGTTAATGGTTTCGCTATCACTTCCCTTTCATTTCCCTTTCGCATTTTTTTTCCTTTCCTGACGACTGCGAGTCGAATCAATTCGTAATAAAATCTGGAAATGGAATTCACACTTTCTGATTGTGATGTGATATCAGCCCGGGATATCCTGTTTTCCACCATTGTTTTAATTGTTTCTGAGTCTGAAGATGCAAGTTTAAGGGAGAATAATTTTTTTCCAGCCTGGCATTAAATGTCAGGGTTTCAGTGAATAAGAGATTCTTCAATAAAATCCCACTTTAACAAACCAATTTCCCCCAACTGCTAATTTCTAGGAATCCCCTCATCTCGTCCCCTCATCTCATCCCCTCATCTCATCCCCTCATCTCATCCCCTCATCTCATCCCCTCATCTCATCCCCTCATCTCATCCCCTCATCTCATCCCCTCATCTCATCCCGTCATCTCATCCCCCAGCACAGTGCAACTCATCGCGTTGAGATTGCATTCGTGGACGATCGCAGAAAACGCGGATGGAGTTACAACCCTCGCACCCGAATCCTATTTGCCGACAAGATTGAAAGCTCCTATGAGGCTACCTGGGGAAAAATGCATTTCCATAAAAATCTCATCACTTGCGGCGTTGCCCGACTCGTACCGAACAGCTGTCGACGCTCCATAGACGTTGACCGAGCCGTCGGAAGACCGCGAGATTTCACCAGCAATCGGTCACTTTCGTCGGACCCTGCCTGCACAGAGGCGGGGTGGGATGTAGGCGAGGCATGCTGCCTCCGCCGCCGTCCCCTTCCGCCGTCAACTGCGGGTTAAGGGTTAATGTGACCATGTTGTCGACTCGCATCCAAGAGCATGTCAAGCGATCGTGAGAATATGCTGGGGCTTATTCATTCGGGTGAAAGGATTTGAATGCGTTCGACGATGTCAGCGTTTGAATGATCTCCATGGAAAACAAATGTTTTTTTTGCTAGCATCTTTCGTGACAAGGCGAAGAGCGTGGAACATTTATCGCAAACACTAAAATATATATGTATATACCACCATCTCGCTTCCGTAATTTTCGAAGCCCACGAAAATACATTTTTATTCAAAGTCTCAGGGACACGTGAAGAAAACAACCAATAGGGAAATTCCTGACGTATTCTCATTGTCGTATGCGTTGGGCAGACGACACCAGCATAGCCACTCACACAATCAATCAATGACAATTTAAACGGCCGCGTTGAATTACATCGGATTGTCTGACGAAGCACAAACCAAAAAAAAAGGAAGCAATCCTGAAAATTATAATGGGAACAAAATGGAGGGTCCAGGCAAACTGTATTTTTTGCCTAAGCTTCGTCGTAGTTCTGATTCGGGAAACGCAAAAGGTAGCTATGGTGACTAATATGTGATATTTATTGAATGCATTTGTGACATTTTGTCACAAAGGTCGATGGGGGTAATAATTACTGTGGATAAGCTATTGAAAAAAAAAAACTCCTTGCTTCTTTCCAATGATTGAATCTGAAAAGAAAAAAAAATCGGCATTCAGAGAATAAAAAGAAGCTTGACTCGTTTTCGTTCATAACGGCCGCCGGGAATGCGACTTTCAGTCGAGTTCCAATATTCACGGGTCATTCTTCCAGACAATGCCCTCAATCCAGTCCAGGTAGGAGGGAACATGCATGTAGAATCCCGGAAAAACGGCAGCGCCGCACCCAGCGCCCGTAGACACCGTCCCCAGAAGGTAGTGCTGGCAGCGTTTATTTTCTCCATCGCGAGGGAGCATCAGCGGCCCGCCCGAGTCTCCCTGCAAAACGGAAGCAGAATTTCCGATGGAGGTCGGAGTTCCTTCGGCGACGGGGCAGCCTTGCATTACCTGGCACGAGTCTTTGCCTAGCACGCCGGCGCAGAGGACTCGCCCCCCCGTGCCGCTGGGAAACCGCCTCCTCAGGATGAAATATCTCGCGACCGTGACATCGCACTCGAACGTATCGCTCAACGGAACCGACACTTTCTGCAGGACTGTCGACGCATTCCCACCTAAAAATAAATATCAAATTGCGAAGGATGCTGGCCTTCACTCAATCCGACGACGTGCATTATCCGTGCAGGATCCGTGCGTACCAAAGGCCGTGTGCCCCCATCCAGCCACAACCAGGTGGGTCCCTGGCGGTGGAACGTCATCGTCAGTCGCCAGACACGCCGGGGATATGATGAACCGAACAGGCACCTCTCGATCCAGTCTCAGCAGAGCGATGTCGTGGTAATTCTAACAAGAAATCGAATCAAAGCAAAATGAATGTTATTTTCCGTTGCTCTTATTCTTTGCAATAAGGAATATCCGGGTTGAATGATTAAATACTCTTGTCTTCATACTTCCCTTATTACAGGTAGATAGTAACAATACAAAGTACACCATTTTGCAATAATTTGCAATAGTTTTTCATGAAGTAAAAAAAAATGGGCGTGTCCATTTCAAGTGGGTCGAAGGCCACTATTATTAAAATTTTCTTATTTTGTGAATATTCCACTTGATCCTAAATGCCATTAACTCTAGACTCTGAATTCATGAATGAATGAGAAAATAAGTGCTCCACGATTCTAATACATTTAGACGATGGTGACTGACGTTAATTTTAACCATGTTCTTAACGTGATGAGATGCTGAAACTTGCTACACAAATAGCTGTTAGATTGCTGACTCCAAAAAATTCCAGCTTTGGGTGTAAGTGCCCTAAGGGAACATTCGGGGGGGGGGGTCTCATTTTGTAAGCCTAGGTCCTTCTTCCACGCTTCCTTCAAAAAAACGGAAGGAATATGAATAGCTGCCAGGTTGTCGACCCAAGAGAAAGTCCAACTGCGAATTCCCAACTTTGGGGGTCCATGCCGTGGGGACACGTTTCGGGGGAGGGGGGACTCATATTGCAGGCCTAGGCCCAACAAATGGATGGATGCTTAGACTTATACCTCTCACACATTTTCTTTCTTCAAGGAAGTGGGAGGGGAAAGAAATAGGTGCTTATTCCATACTAGAAATGAAGTGCGACAAAGAATGTACTTGCCCTGAGGGAACAGACTTAGCAAGCTTATAGGTAACCCTTCGACAGACGCAGAGGCCTGCACCGATCTTGCCCGACCCATTCGCATCGAGGAACTTCTCGGCCCATCTGACCGCGAATCCTTCTGCCTCGGCCCGACGCGCGAGTCATAAGTGAAGGATAGGACGGGAGTTGACGCGTACCGGTATGTTTTCAGATGCGGTTGGGTTCTATTCATTTTTCTGGCAGGGAAGCGGTAGATGTTCTATTTGATATTAGGTGGCTATGTCCAATCCACTTACGGACGCATGGGTCAATGTTATGTACACTTCAACGAAACGGGAAGGTATATATACGGGCCGCATTCACGGAAGGACGCGTTTTTAATAGACAACTGTAGGAAACCTGTAGAAGAGTTTGAAAAGGGGATTTCCCTCGAGTACTTGCGCCACAATGTAAATGTTAACGAAAAAATTACGTTTAGTCTACGTGGAGTTATTAAATTTTCAAACTCTGAAGTAAGAGCTACTGCGTCTGCTACTATATTTTTGAGCTTCATGCGCAAATAAGAGTGTGACGACCACAGGCAGGGATTTAATTCAATATCGGAACACCAAACGATGCATTGAATATTTACCGCATGATCCTAATGCTGGAAATCAGATGATGACTATTTTCCGAAACAATTTTTTTTTATATGCGACCCGCAATGGCGCGAAAATTGCCAAATCCATTATGCAAGGGGCTTGACAGCATTATTAGGGGTGTGCTTCAAAAACGAATGCTGTGAATGCATTATCAAATTTATTTGGCAATAGGCCGCCAATGGCGCGTCCATAAAAATGAAAAATATTGTGGTTTTCATCATACGTTGTGACCGAAAAAGGGGCACACTCCGCAATGCGCATTTTTGGTGTGCTGTTTTCAAGGACATCTTTGCCGGTTACCTATAATAGGAAGAAGAAGGACTTAGCTAAAAGAAAATTTTTTTTCCGGCTTGATATCTCTAAAACGGTGACTTAAGAAAAAGGATTGAATTTCAATTGCGAAAAATTGGGGTTGCGTCAACGACCGCAAGCTGTCAAGGTGATGTTTGGCTGAGGGCAAAGGCGATTTTTCACGATCGAAATGTTTTTTAAATGATAAATGATCGTTGAAGATATTTTGAGCCGAACAAAAAACTTATTTTGTTGCTAAGTCTTTCTTCTTTCCATTACATGTAAAGGGCGAAAAATGTCATTGAAAACATTCCATCTAAAATGCACATTTAAAAGTGTGCCCTTTTGCCACCCTGTATATTGGTGCCACTCCCGTGATGCTCATCGATGCGATGGAATGCATGAAAGATATCCTGCCATTCCGTGAAATATCAGCGTGATCTGGACCCCTCTCCCCCCATTGATATCGAAATTCGAGATGCTCCTCTCGCATCTCGGCATGGACTCCACGCCGAGACCAGACAGAGGCATCCTTGCTCTCCCAGAAGAAAGGAAGACGGCGGAGCGACTGCATCCTATTCATTCCTGTTATTCATTCCTGTTATTCATTCCTGTTATTCATTCCTGTTATTCATTCCTGTTATTCATTCCTGTTATTCATTCCTGTTATTCATTCCTGTTATTCATTCCTGTTATTCATTCCTGTTATTCATTTTTGTTATTCATTCCTGTTATTCATTTTTGTTATTCATTCCTGTTATTCATTCCTGTTGGATTCATGGTTACGTATAGGCACATACGGTGATGGATCCAGTCTTCTTCCAGTCGGGATGGATGATGGCCTCGTCCACGCCGTGATCCTCCGGAATCGAGTCGTCTTCAGCGCCCAGGTCCTGCTCACCGAGTCTCACCACCAGCGAAGACGAACTTAAACGGGATAATGGAATCTGGGATTGTTTTTTTTTTTCCTCGCTGAATTTGAATGGAAATGAGACGGCGAAGAAAACCCTCAAAATAGACTCCATTTGCCTCATCTTGGACTTTCTCGATCGTAAATGAGTAAATATATCGGAGAATGTATGCATATGGACAAATGCACCTGGATACTTGCGAACAAAAGTCGAAATATGACTTTCGTGATTTGCTCTTCATCTAGCATGAACCACATTCTCCCGATTAATTCATTAATCTATTTCCGTCTGATTCCCCTACGAGACAATAAATACACTAACGAAAAAAAAATCCTCTAGCGACCGATGGGAAAAGAGGACTCGGACCCACTCGAACTGCAGGCAGTGGGCCGCCGTGAGGACCCATCGGCGGCTGATGAGGCTCCCCCCGCATATCCAGCGCAGGGTTCCGTTTTCCAGCTTCACTCCCAGGAGAGCCTTGAGAGCGGAGAATGAGATGCAATTGAGTTTCCCCGGGAAACGAAAAATCGTGCAGTAAAAAAAAAATTATGGGAGAACCCAAAGAACGCGTGGTATTCGAAAGGTGGCACGTTGAAGAACGCCCTATTAAATGATTTAGCATCGAGAGCGACACAAATTCGAATTTTTGCAGAAAAATGTTACGTTATATTTAAAAAAGTCAAGCATTTTAGGTTACTTTTTAAGAAAGATTTTCAGGATCTCCGCCGAGCTCAACCAGGCCCGACCATCTCGCATTTGAATAGGAAATTCCCGGCGATTGCAGTCGATCTAACGACTCCATAAATAAATAATTGGCTCCATCGGACCTGCGTTCGGTATGATATGACCCGCTGAATTTTGACTAAATTAAATGAAAATCTCAAATGAAAAAAAAACCACGATGGGAAAATCCTCAAAGTGTTTTTCTTTTCAGTACAAAATGTATATTTGAAATAAATATTTCAAATGAATATTTGAAAGTAGGGTAATTCTTACAAGAGATGTGGAGAGAGAAAAGTATTTTCCCACGATTTGTTGCTTTACTTCCTACATTTTTTAAATTTTCAACCACAAGTTGCAAAAGTTTTCAGTTTTCTTCACGTGGATGAATCAGGTCGTGGAATCACGCATCGTTGGACGCGCCTGAAGCTCCCCTTTCTAATGACACCACGCATGAAACCGTCAGTGCGTCGACACATGGGAAAATACTCGACCGAAAGGTGACCAGAAATGAGAAAATTCCGATTTCTAGGTGAATTTCTCTCTACTCAAAGGCGAGCGAGTAACTTGCTTCATCGATGCATGCGCTGAAGAGTAATACGTAACGTAGGAGGAATTCTGACTTTTCCCGCTCCGCATGGAATTATTTTGGGATCGAAATTGCCTGAATTTCACATCGTTAAGCTCAACAGTGATGCCAAAATCGCAAGCAAGGTTGCATGAACCGATTGTTCATCCGCTGAAGCGCCCCGATTCAAGCTATTAATAGAAATAGCTCATGCCTCCGGTAGATGAACGGTTCATGAGATGTACATTTGTCCGTGAGATGTCCATGGCGTCTTTCCTTTCATTCTGAAAATTCAGGAGGCGACGCCTTGACAGGAATCGCTGAGAATTTTCCTCGCAAAATCCGAAATGTCCGTTCGCAATTTCTAAATTGTAATATGCATTGGGCTCCCATAGAATGACCTACAATCAGCCTCGAGCAATGCGAAACTCCCTTAGGAAAGGCCACCGGAGAACATTTGGCAAAGTTATCCATCCATGCTAATGAAGCCGACGAGAAAGCATCACAATTAAGCAACTTAACACTTCGCTTTCACGTTCCCGACGTCATTCTCATTTCTTGACCAGAAAATGTCTAAGCGGAAGAAGAGAATAAATGAGATTAAGAGATGAGAAGTAAAGGGTGAGAGAAATACCTTCAGCAACATTCACACAACCAGGCAGGGACTTTCCAGACGAAAAACTAAGGAAAACGGAACTCCGTATATAACGACGTCGTCGACGAGAAGTTCATTTCTAATGGCTCAATTTGTTCCCCCCCCCCCCCCCCCTTATACCCCCTGAACATGGCAATGGAATCTCGCTGGGCCCGATGGGGAGCTGGGTCCGCGCAATCGGGGAAGAGGAAGTTCTCGATGATTAATGAGGGTGGAATACAATTATAAGACAGACGCCGAGGCCACCTTCGACAGAATCCATCTTCTACCGCGGACCCCACGGCGATATGTCATTCTCGGCTTCCCGTGGAATTTGATGGATGGCGCAGGTTACCTTCATTGCGCCTTCAGTTATCTCATATTCGTTATATCAACTCGTTAATTCAATCGTATACAAGACATCCCTACATCCTCTGAGGGCTAATCGGTCCCTGCTGATAGCGATAGCGATCATTTCCGATTCCGATAGACAGGTGCCGAAAACGATCTCGATTCGGAATTTTTCGTGGCGTCTATGTAGTAAACGACAGTGCGGATGGGAGGTGGATTCCTCATTAGAATTCTAATTTTTTTTCAAATGATCTCAGTGAAAAGCATGCGACGGAATCGGTGGTGCACATTTGTGCAAAGATTTCATCGATGATGAGAATATGCAACTTACATATGCAACGCATATTCAAAATATGCAATATCTGGCACAAATGAGAACATTTGAGAACCGAAATAACGTTCGGTCATATTTATATTTTAGTCACATGTCGCATTTAAAGAAATCCCATATCGCGTCAATCACGATTTTTAGAGTGAGCAAAAAGTTCTAAGTCTGGGGTACTTCCAATTGCGATGCACCTCTTTGACTCTTCTCATGAGAAGACAGATGTCTTTTGGTGTCAGATTTATTAATATTTGTCAATAAACTTTCATAGATTTTTTTTTGATGTGCCACGAAAGGGTTCGCAGATCAAATTGAGGCGAATGCGGGGTGATTAATTTTCTAACCTCTTAAGAGACGATTCCCCAGTAAATCCGTCAGCGGCTAAGTGAATAGGGTCTTATTGATACTTTTATCCGCAACTCGATACTCAATACTCGATTCGTAACTCTACGAGCTGTAGAAACGTCGACTCCAGGAATCGACGCGACGTTGAATCGAAGGGTCAGCAGAATATGCGAAGCGAAAGGCTCTATGACAAGCAGTTCACTTTCGCGTCATATTAACCACTTGGGGGGATGGGTAAGTGATTAAATCACGATTTAGGACACAAACCGTAATTGTGCGAATCTGTTGATAACGTTAATGGACACCTTTCCCGATTTTCATTCATTTCAATTTCAGGGCGAATAAGTTCCCGGAGATCATTCACTCTTCCCTTTTCGAATCAGTATCTCAAGATTAGAACTGATGTTTATTTGACTTGGGAAATGAGAGTCGCAATAGTCGGATTCCATTTTTTAAAAAAAATCCCGTTTGAGGTTAATAAGGCAAGGAACGCATTGAAAGGTGAAGAAATGGGCAATATACCGTACCATGTGAGGGAACTCAAAAGGGTCAGCATTTACTCCTCCGGTAATCAATGGCTGCTGGTTATGTTCGCAGTCTGTGTTCTCCGCCAGCACCTGCTGGTACTCATTGCATTCTGCACAGATCAAAGAAGGAAAAGTCGACTCGAAAGGGCAGAATCACCCTGTACAGAACGGAAAAGAAGCGACTCACTGGCTCTGCTTATTCGGATTGTAGTCTGTTCACTACTGCCTTCCGGGAGTGGTGGTGTTTGGTTGCAGCAGATCATAGGATCACCGGAGGGATCCATGGAGCACAATAGCGACGGCAGGATGGAAGGATTTTCATTAAACATTGCCACTTCTGCGGGACACTCCTTCATCCTCCTGCATTCTCCACGGCCAGACGGGCATGGCTCGGGCGACTGAGAGGGGAAGCTTTCGATCGGGGAGACGAGGAAGAGCAGGAACAGGTACATCACCGAAGGCATCCTCATTCACGTCTACTTGTGGTGTGGCATCTTGCATTTCATTTTTGTACTCCACTCCTGATCCAGGGTTGCCAGACTCGAGGTCACTTCACAGTCTGTTGAACGGAATCGCTCGTCACGTATTTCGCTCCATGTTTTCCTAATGGGACTCGTGAGGGAATGTTTCGTCCCTTATGAAAATTTATTACAGGGATTGAATATGAATGTATAGCATTACCCTACGACCACATAGGAATCCTATAGATTTCCTCTGGGACCTATAGGGTTCCTATAGGAAGCTCGCATTGCTATATGGAGTCCTTCAGATTCCTGTATGAATCCTATAGGAATATATAGAAATCTTATAGAAAGATAGAGGAATCCAAGGGGCTTCATGTAGAACCTGCTGGGTTCCTATAGGGATGCATGCATTCCTAAAGGGAATCTATAGAAATCGTATTGTATCCCATAGGTTTCTCGTTGGACGTATCATAGACGTAGGATCGTCCTCGAAAGTTGGGGGGGGGGGGGCAAATGAGGTAGATCTGTTCCGATAATCGCGAGTTTCATCTCTGTCCACGGATAACATTTTATCATATCTCGGTTCAAGCAAGGGCTAGTCTGGGGTCAGGAACCACATTTCTCATGAATCAAAGAATGTACATGACTGTAGCCAACTTTAGGAGAAAAATATGCTTCCGTTGTTTTGAAAATCTTTGGCTCACGAGTGCATAATTCAATCTTCATATGGCTCACATGACCAAAAAAGGTTCCCGACCCCTGGCCTAGACAGGTCCTACCAGCAGCGCGACTACTATAGAGCATCTCTGCTCTATGCCGTCTTGACGGAAACGGAGGGATTCACCTTCATCCTTACGGCAGGATTGCATCAAGATTGCCTGAAAAGTCTCTTTCCTCGCACCATCTCCTCATCCAATATTCTGGAGGATATTGAGGATCCGGCTGTCATTTCGGAGCAAGTATTGAAACACCTACCTGACACGGGGGATTTGGCCGCAGATCTCGTTGACGTTGATCTGCCTGGTTCCAGATGTGTGAGATAGGGGAAAGCCGCTCGAAGGTCGCTATACAGTTCTGGCTGAATTCAGATGCTGGGAGAATAAAGAGGCCGCAAAAAATAGTGACAGAAATATGACACAAAGCAAACATGAAATATGAATGCAACTCAGGGGGATGGGTCGGCACCGTATCACTCGTCATCAATTGGCAAAATGTTTGGGTAAAGACTACACCAAATATGTTCAGATCACAATCACGGAGCATTGGGAATCCCTCGAGGACGAAATGAAACCATCCCTAAGTTTCAACGGACTCGCTTGAGTTCCTCTTGAAAAACTGGTTCGGCGAATAGAGCACGCTGCTAACAAAGCGATGGCTCCGAGACCATGGTTGATTTCAAAAGGACAGTTTGGTTCCAGTTCCAGTTCAGTTACAGTTACAGTTGGGTTTTTTGGTTGAGCAATAGTCGAAATGTGCCATTTGAACCCTAGTCAGACCGCAGTTGGGATATTGACTCCCCGTCCAATCATAGTCAGGTTTTAGTCTGACCAGAGTGTGACTATGGTTCCAACCAATTCCAATGTCCGAAGCCTCTCTTCCCTCGTGGCGCCTGTAGAATTCGAGTCAGACCCACCCTGAGGCAACTGTCTCGATGGGAGAGCAATATAAATATATATATGTCTTGATTTCTACTTCCTCTGTTTGAGTTGAAGTTGGTGCTGCTTCATCTTCCTTGCCATGCCACGGTGAAACGAGGACGATATGTTGCTTGCCTTTGCCATTGCAATGGAAAACAAGACACTGTACTTGAAGTGCAAGCGAGATTGTAAAGTTGAAACATTTTACTCTAACGTCATCTTCAAGGAACTCCACGACCATGGGGAGAGGGGAAATCCATCAAATTCAGAATTGAAAACGTTCTGTAGAAGTACCGCCAGTACTTGTAGAAGTACCTGTAGAAGTACCGACTTCCTTGCCGGGGGCAAGGAAGTCGGGAATTTCCGCTCCTTTAGACAAAGAGTGGACGGTAGAGGGATCGGCGGTAATTTTCCGAGTTGCGGAAGAATATGAGTCCCTCCATCACCCAAAAAGTTCATCAATCAAGCCTGCCGTGATTATCGATGAAAGTTCAGCTGGAACCAGAACTCCACTTGTTAATTTCCAAAAGACGCCCAACCTACTTTCAGGTGAGTTTCATATGACGTCCACACTATCCCCTTTTTATTTTCATCATACCACATACCACTTCCACACGGTTGACTTTTTTCCTTCTTCATTTCGAATAGATCCTGTATAGATCCTAAAATCTTGGAGGAATATCTGATCCAGAACAGCGGCTTCACAAGAAGAAGATGGATTAAGATTTCCACATCAAACTCCAAACAGAAACTCTAAAGCGTCAAACGAAATTGCTGGATCGTCAAACAACACTACTGGAGCGACTGACGACATTACTGCCAGCCAGCTCCAAACGCCAGCTCCAATCCAGAGTTGTCTTATCGTGGCTGCTTTCGGGCACTCCAGCGACCACATGGCGAATGCATCCCCACTTGTCCACAGCATATTGTGCTTTGAGAGAATGAACTTGTTTCCCTGCTCTCCCACAGAAGTATGCATTTTCTGAGTTGACGGGCTTCTGGATATGGGAAATGTAGCCATCCACTGTTAGAACTGCCTGTCGATTAACTATTTGGCTCATCTGCAGCTGTGGCAGTTTCTTGCTGACTCGGTAGCTGAATGTATTGGGATGCGACGCAACAGAGATAATTCACTACTTGTCGGAGATGAAAGAAGCAGGTAGACACCGCAATCTCTTGGGATCTTGCAGTCTGGCAATAATAACCACCACCCGACATGTAATAGAGGAACGTCCCAACCATTCGTTCGCTCGTCACACGATCGCAACTTGGATGATGAAATTGCCTCCAGGCGCGAAATTCGCCATCCAGCTCTTGGAACTGAGCTTCCGTGAGGGAATACAACTTTCTCGATCCTTCCCCTCCATCTGCCACATATCGTGGCAATGGAGCACCCCGCGTGCGATTGAGTCCTAAGGCAGCGATGTATGCAGCACAACACATGCATAGTAAGGAACTGAACCACGAACATGACGTCGATCTGTGGTTGGTGTCGAACTGTTTCGATTAGATCAAAAGCGTCCGATGAAATTAGAAAAGGGTCAACAAATAGTTGGACCACAGACTGACTGCAGTTGAACAGAGTAGTAACCGAGGTGAGTGGCAACTGCAGTCTGACTATAATCCAACTGCAGTCAAACAGGAACTGGAGATTGATTTTAAAATCTCAGTCTGTTCGATGTCCAGTCGTAGTTCCAGTCGACTGCAACTGCAACCAAACTGGGACCATCTTCGGACTATTGTTCAACTGCAACTGAACTGCGGCTTTGAAAGCAACCCATGTGGAATGTATGCAATAAAAATATGCGGCTTATTTATTCAGGTGAAATAATTTTTTTATTCATTCGACAATTTCAAAGTAAAAAAAAATTCCATAGAAATCTGGAATCCTTCTTGTAGTCACCGTTGCACCTCTAGTAATTGCCGAAGAACATGAAATATGCTCATCGCCAAAAAAAGCACAACCAAGAAGGGGTTGAACGAAATTGATAACATTTGGTGCACAAGCTCGTACTAGCATACTATTAAATCCATTAGAGTTTCAAGTGAGTGGAATGAATCGTAACGGAGAAAACATGTCAATTAATCCAATTTCAGTAACGGCTATATGGTCGCACTAATAGCTCGAAACGGTTATCTAGAAGGCTTTTACTGATAAAGGTGAACGTTTAAAATAGCGACAAATTGGTTAGTGGGGAATTGAGAAACTCAAAAAAGATTGTTATGATTGTTAATAGCTGATATTTACTAATGCATGCCTGACATTTGCATTTTCAAATATGGATCTGACCATGACAATTACTGTGGAAAATCTGTTTTTTTTTAAATTCCATATCTTATTCTTATTTTTTTCCTTTTGAATGGTAGCGTTCGAAAAACATGTTTTCTGAAGCTTAAAGTCAAATGGGTTCTTTCTTTTTCATGAAAGCTGTTGCAACTGCGGCTTTCTGTTCAAAGCACAGATGTCCAGCATTCATGGGTCATTCTTCCAGACGGTCTCCTCAATCCAGTCCAAGTAGAAGGGTACATTAGTGTAGAAGCCCGGAAAACCCGCAGCTCCGCACCCAGCCCCTGTAGATACCGTCCCCAACACGTAGTGCACGCAACTATTTTCATTCCGAGGGAGCATCAGCGGCCCACCAGAGTCTCCCTGCAAACGGAAGCAGAATTCGATGGAAGACAGAGTTCCCTCCACTTCGTCAAGTCTTTCATTACCTGGCACGAGTCTTTCCCTTCAATGCCTGCGCAGAGGACTTGTCCCTTCATTCCATTCGGATAGTTCTTTTTCACGAAGATAAACCTTGTCGTGAGATCACACTCGAGTGTATCGTTCAATGGAACTGTTACTTTCTGCAGAACTGTTGCTCTCTTCCCACCTGGCAAAGAAACACTCCATCAGCGAGGCAATTTTTTCCTCCACTATCTTTGATAACGTGAGGAATAAATGCGTACCAAAAGCCAATCTTCCCCATCCAGCCACAACTAATGGGGTTCCTGGTGGCGGAATCTCCTTGTCAGTCGGCAGACACGCTGGGTATATCATGGACCGAATAGGCACATCGTTATCCATTCTCAATAGAGCAATATCGTGGTAAGCCTAACAAGCAACCGAACAACAAAAAAAATTATTTTCATGTTATTATGTCCCTTTCCGTGGCAAGAGAGGCTCTCCGGTTAGGTTTGCTCAAGATTTAAAGCCTTATACCTTTCATTATTATGGAATTATAATTATAGGTACGTTTTTAGCAATTGAGCAATATTTATTCGTGAAAAAAGTAGAAAGTAGAAAGAAAAAATGATGGATGTTGTGGTATATATATATATATATATATATATATATATATATATATATATATATNCCTTATACCTTTCATTATTATGGAATTATAATTATAGGTACGTTTTTAGCAATTGAGCAATATTTATTCGTGAAAAAAGTAGAAAGTAGAAAGAAAAAATGATGGATGTTGTGGTATATATATATATATATATATATACCTTATATATATATATATATATATGTTTTTATGGATTCCCCTATGCTGAGTGACGATCTCGTTTCGTTTGCTAATACATTTTCAGACCACACCACATGTGACCCATCTGCAAACATCACACAAGTGCGATGTTTGCAGATTCTAGCATTGTAAGCATAGAGTAACCAATGTTTGTACATTATATACTGTATATGCAGTATATTAACTACAATGTTAGAATCATTGCACCAATTTCACCCTTCCCCCCCATTGCACCCTTCCTTGCAACTATGGAATGAACATATTTCTAAAATGATGAATTCTCGTAATCATTACTTTTTAAAATAACTTTCAGAACAAGTCACACGCCATCACAATCGTGACGTTTTCCTTTTCTATTATTTTCAACATGCGGTGATCGATGTTTTTAGATTATATAAGGTCATCGGGGTCAATACGTTAAAAAAAATACCAGCGTTTCATTTTTCAATAATTAGCTAAACTAATCTAGGCACGTAAAATAAATACGTTTGCACACGGCAACACCGTATTTGTAATCACGAACGGGTGAATGCGATCACAAAGCCAAACACTGCTAGGAGAGAAGCAGGCTTTACAACCATTGGTTGGGGAAGGATTCTAAATCGTCCAAGCTGAAAAACCGAACCAGACGGATTCTGGGGCGAATATTTGGCCAACGAAAGCTCAAATCATGACATGAGTGGGCGCTTTGTAAAGGCAACAGATGGACTTGTCTGCATATGTAAATACTTTCGCAGAAGATGCTATCAGTGTTGGGGATTACGATCGCGAAAAAGTGCTGCGAGGCTTTTGGAAGGCAATTTATCTACTACAATGTTATAACAATTACACCAATTTTAGGCTTTCTTGCATCTATAGAATAAATCCAATTCAGTATTCATGGGTTTCTCGCATTTCACAGATTTGTGGCTCTGCGTGCAAACTAATTTTTCCTTAGGTTCTAATCAATTTCATTCGCTTCTAAAGTCTAATTACTTCAGCCTTTTGTGCTGAAACGTCGTTAGCTATGTTGTTAAATGCATGTCATGACCAGAAATGTTACTCTCTAGGTCACATAAATATACAGTGGGTAGGCCTATTTGTAACTATACATATACGATTGCCTACAGGAGGGTTGTCCGATAAGTAATGCCTTCTTAGATATAAATTTCTTAAATGTCGAGCTAGTTAAACGAGACTTGGGACATATTTTCCCTCAACGTTGCTCCGGACACTTTTTCAACAACTTTTCTTCATTTCTTTCAGGAGTCAAGAAATGATCGCGACAAGGAAACAAGATTTAGTCAAGAATCCATAATTAAATTCCCTGCCGAACTCAGCTGACAACTGTTCCACCACAATCGATCGGGAAGCTTGGTACGAAGCATGGAGAGGACGCGATTGATGTCAGCAATGACCGGAGCTTTCTATACAAGAGGTGATTCATTTATTTGAATGCAGGAAAATCATTGCAGGGTGGGTTCCTGATGTGATGAGGAAAGAAGCGCAGCTCATCCTAATAAAGAAACCTGCCGCGACCTGTTGGACGCGTCCTGAAGCTCTGCATCCACTCCGAGGTTTATCTGTAAGGTTGGTGTCCACAACTTTGATAATGAAAATCGAGGCATTACTGCCTTCAATCGTGTCCTCTCTATATATTGCAGCAAGCTTCCAGGAAACTGAGGATGGAACAGTTGTCACAGGACTTTACAAAAAAATTAAATCACAGGTCGTTAACGAAATCTAGTGCTTGTTACCACGCTTATTTCTTGCTCATGAAACAGAGAAAGAAAATTTGCAGGACATGTATGTGGAGCAATGAAGAGTACATTCTAAAAATCCCGTTAAAACAGCCCGAGTTTCAGGAAATGTACAACTAAGAAGGCTTTATTTATCAGGTAACCCTCGTACATATATATTTTCCTTTAATTTAAACTAATATATACGGTTATTAATTCATATGAATATTTGTACGATTAAAAATCCAGCTTTTTTCCAGTCGGGATGAATGACGATCTTATTAACGGCGTAATCATCTGGGATCGTGTCCGCCTCATCGTCCAAGTCGTGTTCTCCGAGTCTCACCACCAACGAAGATTTGCTGAAACAAGAGGAGAGGGCGCGGTTTTTTTATCACCAGGATTGGAGAGGAGGTGATGTATGCTCTTAGAGATATTTTTAAAAATGTGACTGTATGCACGAGACATCTTTGAAAAAGTTGCAATGTGTGCATAAATATATGCCATTTAAAGTTTTGGAAGTCTGGGTCTGCCTCTCAAAACCTCTCAAGACGTCACATAATTAAAACAGAAATAAATAGGAAAAAACTCCTTCAAAATCAAAAGCCTCGTGTGAACTTGGATTTTTTTGGATCATAAATATATAACTAAAGGAAAATATGAGCTTAAGAACCGATGCACATGCATACTTGTGAGCAAACACTAATGTGAACATTCCCTATAGTCTTTTAATATAGCCTTCATGTATTTCTTCCCCGATTAAAACATGCATCTATTTATATCAGATGCTCCTACGAGGCTGCACAGAAAAAAAACACATTTGCAGGAAATAAAATTCACTCCTGACTCATAAGGTAGAGGACTAGGACCCACTCGGAAGACAGGCAATGGGCAGCAGTGAGGATCCATCGGCGGCTGATGAGGCTTCCGCCACAGATCCAGGTCACGGTTCCATTTTCGTGCTTATCGCCCAGAAGAGCCTTGAACATGGAAGATAAAATATTTCGACCGATGCTGGAATTGCAAGTGATGCAGGAAAAGGCGAGGTAGCATGGCTGATGTAAATTATCGCACTTCATTTGGCGTCGAAATCCCCTGAAGCAGCATCTTATACATACGGGGTGTCCGATATGTCAGGAACCATAGGTTTTTGTGGTCGAGCCTATGGCCCAGAGAGGCATTTCCTCGTAAGCCTCGCGCTTTTGTAATACGCTCGTAACATATAAGGCTATGGATATGGTCCTATGATTGTGCAAGTATGGGCCGGTCGGCGATCGATGGTGGACGATCGATTGATATGCTTGCACAATCAGCTCTTCCTCCTTCCCCGTCGGTCTTCCGTTTTCTTCCCTTTCCCAATTCATGCGCCACGCCGTCGGTCTTACCGAACGTTTCGGCCCAGTGATGCGCCGTCGACTTCGAGCAGCCAACAGGCTTTGCAGCCGCTGCTAAATAAAGCTTGGGACCATGCTCATGGGTACAGAGGAAAACGTTTTCCCAAACCTGCTTCATCGTTAACACCATGCTTATCGAAAAAAAAGAACTATTATCGATTGCTCCGAAAAATGGTTTCAATCAGTGAAACCTAAACTTCACGGGTGCTTAGGACCCAAAGTGTTCAGTTCGCACTCATGACCACAAACGTTAATATTGCTCCGTTTCTCAGATAGACCCGGTCGGTTTTTTTAAAATTTATTTATCAGGACTGTACATTGCATAGTTATTTGTAATTTATCTGCAGGTCTTTCATCTTTCGTAATCCTTGGAGCGACGAGAAAATGGGGATTCCCTGCTGATAAGCTAAGAAGAAGCTGTTAAAATATATCACTCTGCCATGAATCACCCAGGGGGAATGCCTAGGAAGCCCGATAGGATAACTACCCATAAAACGAAGGGATTCGCTGCCACAAACTGGAGCATCTATTGGGACAATTGAGAAATAATATGGGGTCAACTGAAGGAGCCATTTCTAGTCCGTAATATTTCAGCTCCGGGGAAACCTCATATCGCATTCATGTTGGAATTCTGAGAAAGCAAAATGAAAAGGGATAGCTTCGATCCATTTGTCAAAAGAAGTTGGCATATATCCGAAAGTGTAACCAAACGGTGGCAAAAGGGTGAACCTCTCAATAATTTATTATTAGCCAACAGTAAGAGAAAACGATGAAAAACCAATATCAAATGTCAATAGTCGTGTTCCAAAAGCTTAATATTTGTGAATATTCCTAAGCAGCAGTCGTCAATCAATGCTAGAACTGTGTGAAATGTACGGTACATCTCCCCAAACCCTTTTTCTGGAGTGAACCGGAATTAAATAACTTCATGAAATAGCCCCTGAATTAATTCTTGAAAAGCGTCATCACGAAACGAAGCGTTTGCATGATGCAATTTGTTATAAGAAAATGTCGCCCAAAATTAAGAAAACGATCCAGGTTGATCTCAAAAGATGAAAGTTGAGGGATATTGCTTCATAGAGTGTTTTATATCAAACGAGAGCCGGTATAGTCGGATTTTTTTAAATTAATTTAGGGGTCAAGAAAGCAAAGGAACTCATTGAAAGGTGAAGAAATGGGAGATGTACCATACCAAGTGAGGGAACTCAAAGGGTTCAGCTGCTGTTCCTCCGGTAATCAATGGCTGCTGGAGGTATTCGCAGTCTGTGCTCTTCGTCTCGGCCAGCATCAGCTGGTACTCATGGCATTCTGCACAGATCGAAGAAGGAAGAGCCGACTCGAACGAGAAGAATCACCTTTGAACTCATGGAAAATAAGGGAATGAAAAGCTCACTAGCTTTGCTGATGCGCATTGCAGTATTTTCACGTGTGACTTCCGGTAGTGGTGATGTTTTGTTGCAGCAGATCATGGGCTCACCGGAGGGATCCATGGAGCACAATAGCGACGGCAAGATGGAAGGATTTTCATTAAACATTGCCACTTCTGCGGGACACTCCTTCATCCTCCTGCATTCTCCACGGCCAGACGGGCATGGCTCGGGCGGCTGAGTAGGGAAGCTTTCGATTGGGGAGACGAGGAAGAGGAGGAACAGGTACATCACTGAAGGCATCCTCCATTCAAGACTGCTTGCGATGTGGCATCTTGCATTTTGTTTCCGCTCTCCACTCCCGATCCAGGGTTGTCAGACTCGAGGTCACTTCACGGTCTGTTGAATGGAATCGCTTGTCACGTATTTCGCCCCATGTTTTCCTAATGGGACACGTGAGGGAATCTTGACTTACCATGAATATGACTTAACGAGGAATTGATGCCGTTTCGCTAATCGATGCCCCTCATCAACAGCGCATTATCGAAGAAAAATTTTGCCCATTCCGCATAATGAGGTGGGAAAGATGTCAAAAAGAGACCAAGTGGATCTTTTGCACTGCTTATAAGCCACTTCTGATAGATTTTATTTTCATTATATATTTTTTGCAGATAATGAGACGTTGGTCAGCCACGAAATAAAGACCGAGCAGGTACACATGTAATGCAAGTCTGGTACCAAAGCGCATGCTCTACTCTTTCTTTGTAGTCATTGGGAGCACTACCAGTAGTTTTAAGGAGAAGGGGTAGGAGAGGAATAGTGGTAGGAGTAGGGGGTAAAGGGGCAAGGGAGAGTCATAGGAGGGACGGGAGGGGGTTGGGAGATGATGAAAAATGAATGAGGAAAGTGCGTCTCTCTCGGTTAAAACAATTAGCATAAGGCTCTTCGAGGAAATGTTTTCGATTGGAAATCACCCTGAGGGGATAAGGGCGGAGTGAATCAGCCTCCCTCGCATTCGTCCCTCCCCTGAAACAATGCACACACGTCTACAGACCATGGGAGTACTGGAAGGAAAGGGCGGGGAGACTCCATGTGATGACCGTGCCTTGTCTGGGTAAGGAGGCCCTCATGCGCTCTCGCCCAGGTTCAGTGCTTTGTACGTATGCATTCAGAATCGCCGATAGGAGGCAGATGTGAACCCAGTAAGTGCTGAATTGAAAGATGTTGGAATGAACCAACATCTTTCAATTTATGAAGCATGAATCATCTCACAAGGGTGAGAGATGCCGAGAGGGCGGAGATGCGATTTTTTAAAACATTTTTATTATTTTTCATTCCGCTATTTTTATTTCATTTCATATAAACAAAGCGCGAGAGTGGAAGAGAAAGTGAAAGAGAGATGTAAGAGAGAGAGAGAGTCGTGAATGGTGCACGATTTTGGAGAGAACAAGTCGGGACTCGTTTTTATCGATTCCCTGCAGAAAAAAAATCACTCTTGCAAGCAGGATCTTCAAAAGCAATGAGATCCCCCCCCCCCGCCCCCCTTGTCTGTTCCATCATGGAGCCCGGCATCTCCCCAGGGTATTCCGAACGGCTCATAGGCAAGAGGCAAGGTGGAGGATGTCACGCGGGAAAAGAAGGAGAGGGGGAGAGAGAGGGAGAGGGAGAGGGAGAGGGAGAGGGAAAGAGGAGAGATCAGAGGGCGGGTCCGATGAGATCGATTCCCGCCGAAGAGAAGCACTGCCAGTTCGGGATCGAATGGAGCAGTTTTCCATGCGTTTTAGAGGAATTTTAGATGTGTTGCACGATTTTATTACGTGGATCGGTTTTAGTGTACTAAAAGCGCCCTATGGTGAACTTCTCATTTCATCTTCCTGGAATTTCGTGACTATCCCCAAAATCATAATGGCAGCGATTAAATATTAGTTTTAAATATCAGTCTTAAATAGCGATTAAACGGAAGTCGAGAAGTATCTATATATCGAGGTAGCGGGCTGAGTCCGCCGGCTGGGCCAGCGAGAGGGAAAGCGAAAGGCGCATCCAATCGCATCTCCTTCGACGATCGACTCGAGGACTTCGCTGCATGGTCCAACTCGCCTCTGGGCGAGTTGGACCAAGCAGCGAAAGCGTGGGTGATGACCGGGCGAATAAACTTTCCGAATAATGTAAAAAATTACGCTCGTTCGTCCCGGGCCAGGATTTTTCGGTGAAGTTATTTGCTTTCGAGCGAATTATTACTTTAACGCGATGATTCCAACTCCGGTGGCCGTCGCACGTCGCTCGATGAGTGTCGACGATGTAGAAGGGAAAGAACGAGACGGGTCCAGGGCTCGGGATCGGGGCTCGGAGATCGGGATCGGGGCGAGCAACGGCGCCTTCTCTATCCTGGTCTCCCCCGCTCAGTTTTTTTTTTTTTGGAAAGGGATGGTGCGGAGCCTCCCGTATTCTTGGCTGATGATGCTGATGATGATGTCGTACGATGATGCTGCCGCGATCAATCGGTTCTCCGAGAACTCTTCCTTGCTTGGAGATCGGAGTCGAGCGAAGCAAGCTTAACATAAATACGATATAGATAAAATATTTCTGTAAAATTTATGTGTCAAGTTCGCCTCATCTCGAGATGCAGGGCGTCGAAATGCCCCCAAGGACCGAATTGGATCCTCCTCGGTCGCATTCGGTCGGCGACTCGGTTGGCATCTCTGTTGGCTTCTGGCACGGAGCAGCGAGATTCAAAAGCGACCGAGTCGCTTGTTTTTATTATTACTATTATTATTATTATAGATATAGGATTTTTTATTATTATAGAACCGATTTAAAAAAAAGATTCACTGTATAGTCACTATAGCTGTTAAATATAGTTATATTTAATTTAAAAAAAAAACTTGGTCTCAGAATATTCACAAGAGCCTAATCGGATCTCTCAAGGTCGCTCATGTCTTCGCTGAAGTTTAATTTGCATGTGGTCCGATGAAGGTGCGAGTGTCAAATGACATTCCAGGAACAGAGAACAATGCATGACTTTCTCGCGATCAGGGTAACATTTAGGTAACGTCGGGATAACCTCTGGGCAACCTTGGGGAAACCTTTGGGTAACATTAGCGTAACCTTTGGGTAAGATTAGGGTAACCGTGGGGTAAGCGTTGAGTAACCGGCTACCTCTCGGCTACGTCCGCGAAGGATAGTTTTTAATTTAGGCAGCATACAAAATCGATTTTTTCCCCTTTTTTTTGCTGGACTACAGAAGCGCCATCTTTAGAAAATTCCATTTTTGGCATTCGGAGCGAGTATGGAGTATAAAATGAAATGATCAAATAATACAATATAATAATCGAAGATGCTCACCGACTGAAATTCTCGCTCTCGAACTCTTTTTCCAGTTTTTTTAATTAAAAAAATGAAAATTGAAATTAAATGAGTGACTGAATTCGTCGCCGCCATTTTTTTTTCGGCGAATCCGGATTTTCATCGCAACTCATGTGTGATTGCCGGTTCGGCGCGACGATCGACGTTCTCCGGCATCGCGAACGTCGACCGTGAGGGTCGCGCCTCCTCCCCCACCGTTCCGCGGTCGCGGTTCGCACGGGAATCGAATTCGCGAATCCGTTAGCGGCAGTTTCATCGCGGCAGTCGTCTTTCTGCGTCGATTCCATATTCGGCCGTATTTAAAATTTCCGGTGCGACATCTTGTCGCACGCTGACGCCCCTTCATCTCGCCGCGGAACCGAAGTAGTCGCTGAGGCTCCGCCGGGAGGTCCTCGAACAAGCGCCGCGCAGCCCCGACCAGGCGCCGCACGATTTCCCGATTTGGCATGCTGAAAAGGCAGATCGGCGAGCGCCGCTTTGAGTCAGATGAGGACGTCGAAGCGATGTCGTGTGGATGTCGTGTGGACGTCGAAGTGGATGTCGTGTGGGTGTCATGCAGATGTCGTGTGGATGTCGTGTGGATGTGGTCACACACACTGGCACCAACGCCGGTAATTTACTGGTCACATGAATAACAGCAGTGCGAAACTCGGGTGAACTTACTTTACTTTCTGGTGAGCCCTCGTATTTATAGTACTAGTACCATAGTACTTATGGTTCGGCGCTCCATTGTCCAGGATAGTGATTCATTCATTAATTTATTTTCGAAGAGGCAAAAACGTATTGAAAGTTTGTGCCTGCCGAAGTGTGTGCCATGAGAGGAAGAACTGATATTTTCATAGAAATAACTACTCCTCTTATCACTTGCGTACCTAACTTCAATTCCCTTCATAATCCGCCTCGAGGGGACATATCTGAAAAGCGGGATCTGCAATCGACAATCCAGTACAATCAATCCGGCAATCGGTACTTCTGCTCCAGGTTTCAACTTTCTTCAGTTCTCTCTTTCATTGGATCAAAGAAGATTCGGGAAAATGCGCATTTTGCTATTGTGCACGCAGGGGTTTTTCCTTTAAAAAAAAAATAATTTTTTTAAATATTAAAATCAGTACTTGGAGAACTAGTTTCGTACCCAATTTCAGCCCTATCCGTTTGCCCTTTTCGCAGGTGCAAAAATATATATGGAAAAGCCGACCCAGCCAAGAGCTGTACCCTGAGGATATGCACCACAAAATTTGACATTTTCTTTAAACTCAACATCGCCGAAGTTATGCGTGCGCCAAGTTTCACTTTTCCATCTGTAAGACCAAAAAAACATATATTTGTAAACGTCACCCCCCCCCCCCCCCCAAAAAAAAAATATATATATATAATCCCACGGGGAAGTACTTCCAAAGACGGATTTTTTCCGCCTGAACTCTGCCTCCCAATAGCCATACCAAGTTGCAGACTCCGAACTTCTCCAGGGCATGACTGGAATCGGCGTCAGTCACTCAGTCCCTGGCGTTGAGGGAAGGATTTCGCCGGTCGGCCGACCGAGGCGAGGAGGTAAGTCATTCAGACGGTAAGCGACGGTTTATACCCTCAAAAGTCCATGATAGATATATATATGTATTTATATCACAGAATTTGAACTGCAAGATCAGGAAATCAGGTACGATCGGGAATTTTTATTTTTTCCTGGGGCTGCCATTGAAGTTCTTGCTGCCGACAAACTTGAAGTTTGAATTCGTTTTGAAATTTGAATTGAAATTGAATTTTTTTAAAGGGAAAATGGCGACCTGCCATGGCAACCATTCCCTCGGATAAAAATAGCAACCCTTTTTGGCGCACCGAAAGTATTCAGGGAATGGCAATGGGCTTGAATTTCGCATTGCAATTTTTTTTTCTGCTCAAATTTTTGCGTTCCTCTCGTGCACGTCCGCGTCACAGCAGCAGGGAAAA